TCAAGTCGTCTTTGATTGAGGCCGAAGTGGCAAGTGTCTCCGTGAAAATAGCGCTCGATAGCTTGTCCGTTGTTTCGTTGATCATCGACGTGATTCCCAAAAATTTCTCGTCCATCTTCTCCATTAACTGTTTCACCTCGAGCGTATTGGGGCTCTCTATCGTGTTGTCCTCGTTTTTGGCAGGCATCTCCTGTAATTTAAACATTGAAATGTTGTTTAAAAAAAATCTTGTTGAAAGAGAAATTTTAAGAAAGGGGGAATCTTGATAAAAATAACGTTCGACGGGTTAATGAGTTTGATTTAAATTTTTCAATATTAAATTCAGAAGGTGTGGTTCGAAAAAATATACAATTTGTTACGGAAGCGCGAGCTTTGTGGATTTGTCGAAATGCTCAAAAATCGCCATCTGGCGCTTTCCGATAATTTACTTTGCCTTTTGCGGCTCTTGGCGTATTCTTACGTAGTGTTGCTTTTTTCGACGTAATTTCGCACGGTTTTTCAAAGTTTTCTTCAGCGCGAATTTCTAGTGGGATCAACAGATTGATTGGTCTTTCAATTTGCTTATTATTGCCTGTTTTGACAATAGCACTTCGAATTTTTCCATCTGCGCCTGCCATTAAGCGTATAATTTTGCCTTTTGCGTAAGAACCTCTTTTTACGTCTTCTTTCATTATCAGTACAATTTCGCCAACTTGAATAGCTACTTTTGATTCTCGCTTACTTGCGTGTTTGCCACTTTCTCGTAATGAGTGCATGTAGCTGTTATGAAATGTTTTCCACACCAAGTTGAGGTAGTATTCTGTGGTTTCAATTTTTCTTTTGACATCTTCATGAGTTTTTATAATCTTGTCTTGATAATCCGGATCGCTCTGATCTGGGCAACTTTCAATTTCAAGGTTCAATTTTACGCCGGGTAACAGAAAATCTATTGGGCGAATCAATCTTTCTGACTGTTCTTCGTCTAAGTAAGTCAGGGGGCGGCTGTTGACAAAGCCTTCAATTTCTACTATGATAACCTCCAGTAGTTGCTTGGATATTCCTCTTCCGTGTTTTATCTTTCCCAGTGCTAGTTTGACACAACCGATTAATCTTTCATATATCCCTCCCTGCCACGGTGCATGTGGGACTGTAAATTTCCATTGTATGCCATAATCGGCTAGGGTTTGGATATTTTAAGCTTCAACTTTAATTTTTGCACAGTGTTCTTGTGGTGGTAAGGACCGGACTGCGTGTAAAGAAATATTCTTTTTGTGCTTGGTACTCTTCACTCAAGACACGTTATTTCTTGTTTTGAGATATCTGATCTCTCTTGAACTAAAAAAAGCACTTTATTCAATAGCCGATTGATTCGGAATCTTTGGGCTCTCACTTGAGCAACTTTCACACAATATCGACAATTGAATTAAAGTGACGATAAGAACAGAAGCAATTTCGTCCTAATTAGGACACAACTTTCACACAAAATCTGAGGAAAGCAGAAAAAACAAATGAAAGATAACAAAAACAAATGAACAACAGTTGCCTTATATAGGCTTTAACACAAGATACTCAGCTAACAAGCTACAAAACAATAAATGATTTGGGGCGCGAAATAAAATGAAGGCGCACCGATTTCCTCAATATTTTTCCAATTTTTAGGCTGTCAGAGTTAACTTTTAGTGGCTATTCGCCACAGGCTTTTTAGATCTTGTATGGATATTTGTGAAGCTTCTTGTGAACAATCAAACGAACAGCTCCGGAAATTTTCTCTTCTCAGACCATTTGCCGCATCAACTTTCTTGGATCGCATCGATCAATCTTGTCATGTCTCGGATTCGTTTCACAATTCCTGGAATAGTGGCTATCATGCGATCCGTTAAGCCGTTTTTGGCCCGAACGTGGGAGATCGTTTGTCAAGCCAGTAAGCTTGATCCTCTTCAGGCAATCGTACTCTTTGGAATCGCGACCTGTTCGGCGATTGCTAACGGACTTCAATAGACGCTCAATGGCTGGTCGAAGATTCCTCGCGCGAGCCATCTAAATAGTTATGTTAGAAAGAAATCTAAAGAAAGAAAGAAAGAAAGTAATAAAATCAAACGGAAAAATAAAATAATTACTCAAAAGGAACAAAGCAAATTAAACTAAAGTTAGCAAATTAAATTAAAGTTAGCAAATTAAAAGATTGCCTAAAAAACATGCGCGATTGAATTCCGAGAACTTTTTACGCACTCTGTATACTAACAAGCATACTATCAGCTTTTTAGAGTAAAACGCTTCAATCTGTTCATTGATTTGCTGTCTAGTGTAAAAATTTTCTTGAAAACTAAATTTTCCACACTTCCACGTACATATCCCAAAAAATTCCAGAAGAAAAAACATTTGTGACTCTCGAATTTCTCGCGTGTTTCTTTTTTAAGCGAAAAAAGAGAAGGCGTTTCTTTTTTAAGTGAAAAAGAGGGAAGGCGTGTGAACGGATCTCGCAAATACTCTACATTTGTTTTGTGAAAGAAAAATACGCAAAAGTAATGCTAGTCGAGTTTATGGGAAATTCATTACGATTGATTTAGTAGATTTTACTAAAATTACTGATTTTGCTGAAAATTTTACTGAAAATGAGATTTCTCTGAAACTTCTCTTTCCCACCAAAAAACTCATTCGATTAGCATGTCAAAGATGGGAAATGTGTCAAAAAGAAACACACAAGTTAAGAGCTTGCAAAAGGGGTGACCTTGGCTTGAATAGCTTGACTAGCTTGAATTGCTTGGATTGCTTGGATTGCTTGGATTGCTTGGATTGCTTGGATTGCTTGAATAGCTTGAATTGCTTGAATTGCTTGACTAGCTTGAATTGCTTGGATTGCTTGAATTGCTTGAATAGCTTGAATTGCTTGAATTGCTTGACTAGTTTGACTAGCTTGACTAGCTTGAATTGCTTGAATTGCTTGACTAGCTTGAATTGCTTGGATTGCTTGAATTGCTTGAATAGCTTGAATTGCTTGAATTGCTTGACTAGCTTGAATTGCTTGGATTGCTTGAATTGCTTGAATAGCTTGAATTGCTTGAATTGCTTGAATATCTTTAATTTAAGCTCTTGAATTCAGGCTTCGTTTTATTTTCATTTCATTCTCAAAAACTCAAATACATTTTAAGGCATTGGTGGAGGAATTCTCTTCAAAATGAAAAAACGAAAAGAATTTGGAAAAAAAGGGAAAAAGAGAAAAGGAAAAGGGTCGAAGATTGAAATTTCGGGTTTTGGGGGAAAAAGGAAAAAAGAATAGCTTGAGATTAGAATTTGAAGAGAGGAAAATGGATGGATGGGGTTAAAATTACGAAGATGAATGAATTGAGAAGAGAAAGAGATGTTTTCGGAGAATCAAATGTTTTTGCGGGAGAAGTCAATCAATTAACTAATACAAAAACGGAATTCAATAGCTTAGTCTAGTTAATTCAATAGTCTAGTTAGACTAAAGAAAACGAACTCATTGGCTCATCATTTACTCATCATTTACTAATTTACTGATAATAGAATACTGTGGGTTTTTTATGATAGTCTGGGTGGAGTTAGAGAGTGCCTGGTGGCAGCTTTCTTATCCTCAATTGCTTCTTATCCTTACTTGTTCTGCTTTCATGTCTGCTTTACCCTTTACCAGCAGAAAACGAGGACCTCCTCGGTCACTAATGTTCGTTAGTGAACGAGGAACGTCAGAACGAGGAGTGAACGAGGAGGTCCTCGTTTTCCACGCAATCTAAGCCCCACCCCTGTCAATGGTTGACGGACAGACGTCACTTCTGCTTTATATATCCTTTATTGTTTGAAAGCAGCCGAAAAGCCCGCCTAACAGCTGATGTTTTGGGATTGCCGCGTTGTGGTCGTGGCGCAGTTGGCAGCGCGCTTGTCTACGGCGCCCACCTAAACAGATTCGACCGTATGTTCGACCCCCCGTGTCACTCAACTTTGAATTCTTTATTTTAAATTGCACAACTATATTTTAAGACTAACAATTTCAGTTTTTTTGGCCCAAAAACGGCTGAGAAAGAGCCTGTACAAATGGACAGACGCTCTTCTTTTGTTATTAGTTCTACAGGGTGCGTCATAATTATTGCAACAAGAGTTCAAAGACCGTTTGTCAAGAATGTGATGTCAAGAATGTGATGTCATGGGCGCGTAAAGCCAATAACAATCAAAATTGGACCTTCATGCAAGATGCAAGACGTCTTCTTCGTGGAGCTCCCGCTCACACGAAGAAGACGGTTCAGGACTGGTGTGTGGCCAACTTTCCCTCAGTGATCACCAAGGATGAATGGCCTCCAAACTCACCGGATCTCAATGTGATGGACTTTTCCATTTGGGCAATCTTAGAGGCTAATGTCTGCTCTCGAAAACACACAAGTTTGGATTCTATGAAGAGGTCTTTGACCAAAGGATGGAAGGCGACTCCTCAAGATGACATTCGGGCCGCAGTGGAGGCATATCCGAACCGATTAAGGGCTGTTATCAAGGCAAAAGGCGGTCATATCGAATGATCTCTTGTTTCCTTATTTGTTACTGTTAAATAAAGCTATTTCTGTTTAAAAATCTTCTTCCAGTGAAACTTGGTGTGCAATGCCTTGAGTATCTTGTTGCAATAATTATGACGCACCCTGTAGTTTGTAGTTTTAGATTTATAGATTTTGTAAGTGAAGTTAAAACTATGTTAAGGTTTATTTATTGAGCTGCTTCTTGTTTCTGGTTCATTTACCGATAAATTTAGAGTCTTTGCTTTGACTGAGCGCTGTTTGAGCTGTGCACCCCTCAGCTTTCCGACAATTCCCTTGGCTTTAAAGTACCCGGAAAAGCTATGTTGAGATTTATTTATTGAGCTGCTTCTTGTTTTCTGGTTCATTTACCGATAAATTTCATTGAAAAGCTGTTGAACTGTTCGACTTTTGGATGTATTGACTTTAATGAATAACTTTTAACTTTAATGAATAACTTTAATGAATAACTTTATTCTTTCATAATCCTTATCCAATATCGATTCAGTGGTATTTTCTGTATCGTCGTAGATAATTTGCGTACTCTCCGCCCTCTTTGCGTGGAGGACATTTGCAGTACTGAAAGTGATCATCATTAAAGCTTTTTTGGCTAAAGAACTTTAGAAAGAACATAATTTTTAGGTTATCAGCATAATTTTTAAGTTATTTAAGATTTTTTTTTTCAGGCTTTTTAGGCCAGAAAGACCTTTTATACGCGCGCGCCCTTCTGCCATTGGCAAGCTAACTTTGAACTCAAATATCTCGGTGTTGAGCTGTCCAATTTCATTATTCTTGGTATCATTAGATGCGCCAAGTCATTCTCTATCGATTGGTATAAAAACTATTTAAATTCAACAGTCCAACACCAAGATATTCGAGCTCAAAGTTAGATTGACAATGATGAAGGGGCGCGGCGCGTATAAAAGGTTTTTCTTGGTGTTGGACTGTTGAATTTAAATAGTTTTTATACCAATCGACAGAGAAAGACTTGGCGCATCTAATGATACCAAGAACATTCAAATTGAACAGCTCAACACCAAGAAATTTGAGCTTAAAGTTAGCTTGCCAATAGCAAAAGGGCAGGGCGCCTATCAAATGTCTCACAATCTTTTTATGACATCTGAAGCTTTTGAATACTGTACCGACCTGTGCATCTTTCCCAACTTCTCCATCCGGTCCTTCATACCCTTCCTCTCCATCAGGTCCCGATGCTCCAGTGTATCCAGGTGCTCCGGGTTCACCCCGTGGACCGGCTTGTCCTGGTGGAGCATCTCTTCCCGGATTACCCTGTGGTCCTTGTTCTCCACCTTCACCTGGAGGACCACGTGGACCCTGAAGAAGTGTTTTGTTCATCAACCCATTCACAAAGCAAACCTTCATCGAGTGTGGCGCTTCAGCATCATCACCGGGTGTTCCCGCCTCCCCGTGAGCTCCATCTTTCCCTGGCGGGCCCGGGGGTCCCATATCGCCCGGCATTCCTAGATTTTAATGTAAATCTTTTATTCTTAATATTCTTTCATTGACTCTACCGGGATTTCCATCTCTTCCGGGATGTCCCATTCTTCCTTTCGCTCCTCTCATTCCTCTCATTCCAGGATTTCCAACAGGTCCCGCTTGTCCGGGTGGTCCTTGTGGGCAATGGAAGCACCCAAGGGATTCTTTTTGTTCACGATCTGGTGCATCCAAACTAAAATCCAAGTTTTCGTTTCAGCAGATTTCAGCACAGGGGCCTTATCTCCATATGGACCTACCCATTATGTCCATCTTTTCCGGGTAATCCATCAGGTGCATCAGGTCCCTTGTCTCCATGTGGACCAGCTGGTCCAGCAGCACAACTATTCTCTACAGTGCATTGACAACGGGAATCTGAAGGAATAGTGATAACTCCGGCTCAAGCTTAGCTAAAGCTCGATAAACTTACTGAATGACGGATTTGCTTGTGGAAAAGCGTTGTGAAAAGCGACTGGTGCAGAGTCATGACTACCAGCGGCTCCATAACTGAAATCAATTAAAGCTAGCTTGTAAAGTATGCTTGGATTGTAATTGCTGTTCTCGGTTCAATTGCTGTTCTCGGTTCGCTGTTCTCGGTTCAATATGTTCGTCAAAACCAACCCTCCATACGCTTGTCGTCTTTGTCGTGTCGATGGAGAGGCGGCACCCAAAAATACCATATCTTTCCACATATCATCGGTGATTGTCTAGACAAAATCTGATAAAACGTTGGAACACTTCTAGAAACTGATAACACTTTGATAACACTTCTAGAACCTCTAGAAAGCTTCTAGAACCTCTAGAAAGCTTCTAGGACTTCTAGAAAGCTTCTCGAACCTCTAGAAAGCTTCTAGGACTTCTAGAAAGCTTCTCGAACCTCTAGAAAGCTTCTAGAACCCCTAGAAAACTTCTAGAACTTCTAGAAAGCTTCTAGAACCTCTAGAAAGCTTCTAGAACCTCTAGAAAGCTTCTAGAACCTCTAGAAAGCTTCTAGAACCTCTAAAAAGCTTCTAGAACCTCTAGAAAGCTTCTAGAACCTCTAGAAAGCTTCTAGAACCTCTAGAAAGCTTCTAGAACCCCTAAGCTTCTAGAACCTATAGAAAGCTTCTAGAACCTCTAGAGAGCTTCTAGAACCTCTAGAAAGCTTCTAGAACTTCTAGAAAGCTTCTCGAACTTCTAGAAAGCTTCTCGAACTTCTAGAAAGCTTCTAGAAACTGTAAACTTCTAGAAAACCTCCAGAAAACTGGTTGCATTCTGTCTGTTCACTAATCTTTCAATGATAATCCCAACCAGTGAACCCCTTAAAGTTAAATTTCAGCATCAAAAAAGGTTCGGGTGTTTTTCTAAAAGAATAAAATCGACAGTGGATCCATACCAGAGACAGAAAATCCGCTAGGCTACCACAAAAAGCAAAAAAACTTTTGCGATTGAGAGGAAGCAGAAGCAGGGGCTTCTGCAAGAAACTAGGAAACGCAAAACCGCTTTCAGAGCTCTGAAAAGGGAAAGCTAAAACCGGTAATCTGAAGTCAGGTAATCAGGTCAAGAGTTCGACTCCGGCCCGCGGCAGTTTTTTTGAAAAAATGGTGCTAAAAGAACGAGTTTTGTGTTTTCTAGGGTAATTCTTCAACGCTGATTCCAAAAAACATGATTTCAGCCTAGGTTTCCGTACAAAAAAACGAGAAAAACGCATTTTTCTATTTTTTATTTTTTTTTATTTAAAATGCTACTAGTTTTTTTCAGAATTGATCAATTTTCATGTTTTTGGTTTTAAAATTTAGATATAATCCTGGTGCATTAGGGCTGTGCTCAAATTGTGGTTTTTTGCCGTTATCGCCGAAATCTGGCCTTCCAAAGAAGGGCACTCTTGGCGTTTCAAAAGGAAAAATCGATTTTTTCACTTTTTTAAAAATTTCTGTCAGACGCTTTCTGTCAGCTTTCAAAAATCTTTTTAGATTTGGAATCAGCATAAAATTCTGCGTCAAAGGGAACATAAAGCATCAAAATGCCATCAAAATTCAACGCTCAACGCTCAACGCACAGCTTGTGCACTGTCCCAGCTGCTACGCTACTCCGACAAAGGCAGCTTATATACCCTGATCGCTCAGGGATTAAGGTAATTTCACAGAAAGCTAGAGCGTTTGGGCAAAAACTAAAAACACCATCGTGTTGCCCGTGTCCGACTTGCGTAAAGCATAGAGCTTTGGTTCAGATTCGCGAGATCTAGTTAGGGGTTTTGAGTTGTTTGCAGCGTTTGGCATTTAATCTGCTGATGCACGGGGAATTTTTCGCCACCCCGTAACTTCAAGGAGTTCCCCGTAACTTCAAGGAGTTCCCTGTAACCTCAAGGAGTTCCCTGTAACTTCAAGGAGTTCCCTGTAACTTCAAGGAGTTCCCTGTAACTTCAAGGAGTTCCCTGGTAAGCTTTTCTTACCCTGAAGCTAAGTATTTCCGCGTCCAATTCACTCCAAATCTCGTTGATCGATGAATAAATAGAAATCGTAGCCAAAAGGCATAATATTAAAGTACCACCCGATACACCGACAGCCATCCATGGGGCTGAAGATCCCATTTTGCCTGAATTTTGCCTGAACAAAGCTCAATCAACGAAACTCGATCAACAAAATGGTTTTACAGGAAATGATGAGAGCTAAACAACAAAAAAAAATACCCAAAAGGTAGAGCTAAACAAAAATCATGACCAGACTGCGGCAATTTCCTTTTATACCAAAGATAAGAATTCCAATGAAAAGCGACTCAATGATCTGAATTAATTGAATTAATTTCAAGAAAGAGATTTGATAGAAAGGACTTGTTTTGGAGGATTTCTATGGGAAAAGAGATCATCCAAATGAACGTCAAATGAACGTCAATTCCCCGATTTCTCTTTTCTCTAAAGAAGCCAAAAAAAGACAAAGAAATTTGCTGAAATGGATACAAGATTTTCCTTTTTCGATTTACCGGCTGTTTTCTCCGAAATTCTTTTGATTCTTTGAAGAAAAAAGAAGAGTTTTCTAATGAGATTGGGGTTTTTTCGGCTTTCTAGCAGTTTTTGTGCCGGTTTAGTCACCCAAGTTGAGTAAATAAACCGTTTTTTTGCGATCATTCGATCATGGCCATGTTTGGGTGAACTTTTTGGATAAAAGATGGATAATTTGGATAAAAGATTAGTATTAGATTTCTATCTGGATGTCATTTAGTAACTTGCGATCATTTTCAGTGTTTTTTAGTCAATTTCAAGCAATTCAGTTCAGTTTAATCAGTTCAATTACCCAAGTTGGGTAAATGAACCGTTTTCTGGGTCTTTAAAGCCTTTAGGTAAAAGATTAGATAATTTTTGAAATATCTGGATATCATTTATCAAATATCTGGATATCATTTATCGACTTTCTTCTTTTCTTTTTCTTTATTAGTCATTCAATTTAAAGTCAAGTGGATTTAAGCTTACAGAAGCTTGGATTTAAGTTTACAGAAAGGTTTAATAAGTTCAGTTAATAAACAGCTTAAAAGGTTAATAAACAGCTTGAAAAGTTAATAAACAGTTTAAAAGGTTAATAAGCAGCTTAAAAGGTTAATAAACAGGGGGTAGGCTAGTTTACGCAACTTTTTTTGCGCAACAGGGTCATTTGCGCAACAGGGTCATTTGCGCAACTGGGTCGTTTGCGCAACTCACCATAACTTTCTTCTAAGTCGGCCAATCTTTTTGCTTTTGGTGTTATTTTGTTGCACTTATTGAGATCTACAAAATGAAACCAAAAGCATAAAGATTGGCCCACTTAGAAAAAAGTTATGGCGAGTTGCGCAAACGACCCAGTCGCGCAAATAACCCTGTTGCGCAAAAAAAGTCGCGGAAACTAGCCTACCCCAATAAACAGCTTAAAAAGTTAATAAACAAACTAAAGTTGCGTATTTTAGCAATTAAACCAGAAAGTTATTGCCAGAAATTGCGTAATTCAGCCAGAAAGTTAAGCTGAATATAATTTATGCCTTGTTTTTTAAAGAATCCTTTGCACAGGAACTTCCGGTTAAACAACTTTTGGTAAAATTTTTAATAAAAAGTTGTAAACACATAAAGGAAAAGGCACACTGCTTACAAAAGACACACTTTTCCTGGCAAACTGCTTGCAAACAAGTTTTTGGTTTAGATACCCAATTAAAACCAAAAAAACACCAAGGAATCCCATCAATTCAGCTCTTTTCCTTTTTCTATCCATCATTTTTCATCTCAATGAATCTTTTCGATTCAAATCAGAAAATCCACTGTGATTGATTGAATGATGGGGAATTTATTGTGCTTTTTGCTGGCTGGCTGGCTTTAAAATCTTTGCCAAAACATCGGCTATCTACTATACATCTCCAAACTTTATACATCTTTATACTTTACATTTGTTCATTTGTATATATCACAGTAAGAAAATGGGTCACACAAGTTAGATTGAATGTTTGGGTGAAAAAAGAGGGTACGGTTGAAAGTTGAAAGCATTGAAAAGACAAAGAAAAGACGAGAATTTACACAAAATTTATATCACAGATAGTTTTTGAAACTTTTAGAAGAAGGATTTAGATCCCAAAGCGGTCCCTCTACCCGTTTTCTATAGAATCGCAGATATTGCGCTGTCCAGAAAGTCTTTTTCGTTCCTTTTCGTACTTTCGTTTAAAATCAACAATTAATCAACAATCAATCAACAATCAATCAACGTTCAATCAACAATCAATCAACAATTCACCAATTAACCTACCATAAATACTGTAATACCCACGCCCATAATGACGGGGCCGGGGGTTGGGCTGACGCATTTTTCTCGACACTGGTTTATGTAAATGCGCGCTGTTAAAATGGCGAATTCAGGGGCTCTTTTGGTACCAAAGCCCTTTTTGAGACCGGGCGCTTTGAAAATTGATACTACTTTTGCCGACCCCCGACTGTACGAGGGGGTGGGGTACTATTACAGTATTTACGGTATGGTTTATTTCATTTGAAAGGCCAACTATTTTTCTGTAAAATGACATTAAAACGGGTTTAAAATGTCTTATTTTTTGGATTTTTTTAAGAGAATGAAGTCGGGCAGTCAAAAAGGCAACTCGATGACGCGATGACACTTTAGCTAAGAAAATAAACATTCTAGCTAAGGAAACCTATCTTCGTGTCAATAGATAAAAGATAGAGCATAAAAAGTTTCGTATATAGCCAAATTTTCAGAGAAATTCATTCAGTCAATTTCTTTTTAGAGGTTTTTAGAGATTTTTACGAAAAGCACATGCTTTTATTCTGGAATTTGCTTGAAATTGACTGAAATTGACACCCAAATTGACTTAAAAAGATGGAAAATTGAACAATAAACACTTTTATTTAGAGTAAGCCATAGGTTAATTGGTGAATTTGTGATTTTTCAACGAAAGAAGCGAAAAGACTTTCTGGAAAGTCTAATAATTTAGAGACAATAGTTGCCTCTACATATTACACTTCATTATAAAGTAGTGCTATACTATGGGATTGTATTTACAAAGCTATTGATCTAATAGTAAGACTATGAATTGATCACCCTTGAAGATTTCAAATTCCACAAGAACATTGGCATCGCAATTTGACGATCACTCGCACATCGGTCATGAATTGAGATGAGTCACTGAAAATAGACTAATTTTAAAAAGCGACGAATTGAATGCACTAGACTGTGACTAGAAGTGCACTAGACTTTAGAGATTTCACTAGTATTCATCTATGAGCAAAAAAAAAGTACACTGTTAGCTAAAACTCACGCAATTGTGTGTGGAATTCCCCCGTAGACGTAGTTAAATTGTCGAGTGATCAAATCGACCTCGCCAAGGTATTGAAAGTCTAAAATTGAGAATAGATTCCGAAAGTATCTAAAATTATTTGAAAAGAGTAATGCTAAAAGTACTTTTGTGAATTCGATCGACGAGTAAAGCCGGTACAGTTTGTTTACATTGACGAGCATCGTTGATTACAGTGACAGCAAGATTTGGATCAAGGCGACCCATCGGCACCCAGCTGTATCTGAAATTTAGAGGTTTCACTTTAGAGATTTCACTAGTATCCACTATTCTAATCGTTTAAAAGATTTCACTAGTACTCACTATTCTAATCGTTTAAAAGATTTCACCAGTATTCACTGTTCTATTCACTATTCTAATCACTACTCTAATCCTGTCACTTACCGAAAATTGAATTTCTCTTCATAATCTGGAGCATATGTAAGGACACGCGTTTGGGAAAAGATTGATGGATCGCTGGTGTTGTAGACGCGGCCATTCACTAAATTTTAAGGCTAAACACTTCTTCAAAAAGCTATTGACAAGTAAAATTGGGAATAAAATGACAAGTTATGCCAGAAATAACATGAAGGACGTGCCATTTTTACTTATTACACTGTCCAGAAAGTCTTTTCGTTCCTTTTCGTACTTGAAAAATAACAAATTCACCAATTAACCTATTCTTTTCTCTAAATAAAAGTGTTTATTGTTCAATTTCCATCTTTTTAATTCAATTTAAATGTCAATTTCAGTCAATTTTAGTCAATTTTAGCCAATTTCAGCCAATTTCAGTCAATTTCAAACAAAATTCAAGCAAATTCGAGAGTGAAAGCACATGTTTTTCATAAAAATCTCTACAAAGAAATTGACTGAATGAATTTCTCTGAAAATTTGGCTATATACCAAACTTTTTGTGCTCTATCTTTTATCCATTGACACGAAGATAGGTTTCCTTAGCCCAAGTGTCTATTTTCTTAGCTAGAATGTCTACTTCCTTAGCTAAAGTGTCTATTTTCTTAGCTAAAGTGTCTATTTTCTTAGCTAAAGTGTCTAAATTGCATCATCGAGCTGCCTTTTTGACTACCCGACTTCATTCTCTCAAAAAAATCCAAAAATAAGAGATTTTAAACCCGTTTTAATGTCATTTTACAGAACTGACCTTTCTAATGAAATAAACTATAGATTGGTGAATTGGTGAATTTTGGTATATTAATTGGTGAATTTGTTGATTTTAAACGAAAGTACGAAAAGAAACGAAAGCCTAATAAAATAAAGAAGAAATTGGGTGAATCAATAAAAACTAATAAAGCCTTTTCTGAAAATCCTAATAAAACTCACAAATAAACGATCCAGCCGTTTTTCCAGTCGAATCAACAAAAACTTTTCCCCAAACTGGTCGACCATTCTGCGGAATCCTAAATGTTTTGTTTCTTTTTATACCATACTACCAAACTAACCAAAAAGCCACAAATTCATTCGGTCCACCAGGGCGGTTAACAGCCATTAACTAGAAAAGATTGGTTTATAGAAAAATTCTAGAATAAACTACCTCATCACCCATTAAAGTCGGAGTCAGTGATCGATATTGACGATTTGAAAGGTAGCCATTTATCTGAAATAAAGAATCGTTTCTTTGTCTTAATGTAGTTGTTGATTTGCTTTTCCTAAACTTACATAAGTATCAAAAGAGGGTGTAGGGGTGACTTCAGGGAATTGCATTGAAATCAGAGGTGAAAGGGCACTGAAAATTCGAATCGTCGGTAGCTGCTATGCTAATTTGCATTCTGCTTGTTTAAAACAATGAATGAAAAGCAATAAGTTCAATGAAAAGCAATGAAAAGCAATGAAAAGCAATGAAAAGCAATGAAAAGCAATAAGTTCAATGAAAAACATACCGTGTACTCGTGCTTGGATTCATCCCGGATCCCTCTTCAACATTCGTGTGATCTTGGAATTCTGGACGAACATCGGGAATGTAGATTGGAGTTCTCGGTATTGGAGTTGTGGTTGTTTGGTCTAAAATTTCAATTTAGAAATGAAAATTGAAAATTTCTAAAAGCCCTGATAACCAAAAAAAACATGCAAGCTTGAAAGAAAGGTGTGCCCGAAAACTTTAAAATGCTTTTCTTTGGGATACCCGCTGTTTTGCCGAAAACCGAGGTTTTCACGCCGGAGAACCAATCCGATATTGAATCCCAAACTAGAACCAATGTAAAAAAAAGGATTGGAAAAGAAATGGGAAATAGTAGAGGTTCAAAATTTATTTGCGACCTTTTTTCCGTGAAAATCTTGGGTTGGCGCTTTAAAGCGTGGTAAAACTACCGTACCCCTTCTAATTTGCAGGTGTAAAACAAAGCGCGCAATTTCATTCTTTCATTCTCGTTCTTCATTTCATTTCATTTCTTTTCATTTCATTCTTTTTCCCTATTTCTGATGTGGTTTTCTTCGTATTCTTTATGAGTGATGATCACAACTTAGTGGAAGGGGTTTGCAGAAGGAATCGGTACATCGGTACATTCAAAACGGAGAAACCTCTTTGCGAATGGCACAGTTATCTATTAGGTTGTCCCATAAAAACCCAGAGATTTGTGTTTTGATCAGTACTCGCTCACAACACAACGTTTTGTATTTCTCTGTATTTTTTTCTTTTTCATGCTAAAACTTTCGTCTTTCTTGCACTAACATTAATTTTTTTTAGGGATCGACACAGGAAGAGAGTTGCAGTCGATCGAATGAAGCCAACTCAAGATGGAATCCACGCCCAACTGCTCCAACGATTTTCAAAAGGGATTTCAGCGGCCAAAGCAACACGAGAAATCAATCAATTTTATGTCAACAGAATCGTTGGAACGAGTACTGCACAGGGATGGTTTCACAAAGTCAAGACGGGCAACACAAGGATCAAACGGAAAAGGAGAAGCGTTCGACCCCGGAAAGTGGATCGATCGATTCTGAGGCACCGACTCCTGCGAAACCCCAATGGATCAACCCGGAAATTCACTGAACGTTACTGTGGGCGATGGCTGCGAAAAGTGGACAGAAATTGGAGAAAACAACGCCAAATCCCATACAATTTTACAATTTTAATGTTCGTACAAAAGTAGTTCCACAAACTAACGTCTATATCTTTATTTTTGCCCCAAAAATGCTTCGAACTTTAATTAACTCGACACTGGAAGATGGTTTTTTGAAACAAAAAATAAAACTTGGCGAATTCCTTGCAGAAAATGGAGAAACGTCTTTCCTTACATACCTAGAGGTTGCTGATTCAATTCAGTTAAAAAATCCTGGTTGTTTCAGAATAATTAATGGAAGGCAGAATCAGAATGGGCAGTGTGTGGACGCTTAAGTGCAGAAATACGCAAAAAGAATGAAATTACGCGCTTTCTTTTATACCCGCAAATTAGGTGGGTACGGTAGTTTTACCACGTTTTTCTCGAGGATTTTCTCGGAAAAAGGTCACAAGTCAAAATTAAATTAAATTTAAATTAAGAATAAAGATTTTGTTTTAGTTTGATTTACCTGATGGACTTCTCGAGAATCGACTGCTTTTAGGTGGAAGAGCGTTCGTCTGAAATTGAGAAAAGTTACTCTCATTTGCCCCAATTCTCTTACAATCAAGATATTTTCATTCTCAAGAATTTTCCCTTTACCTCAATATTTTCGAAATTCGGTTGTAATGGCGGTATTTCATTTGTTTTTGTCGGATTTTCTGCCAACACTTCTACTGATCGAAGAAGCAAGAAAAGGGAGATCGACAATCGCATTTTCGAGGTGATTTTCTGAAATTTCAACATTCATAGGATTGCACAAAGCATTTTTTAACAAAAAAAAACAGGAAAATGGGGTTTATCATAAATTCCAATTGATCTGTTCCCGGAATTTGACCGGGAAAAGAGGAATCAATCGGGGAATGGTGAAAATTTCCGTTGCAGCTTAAATTTTGATTTTTTTGTCTAGATTTTGACCAAAAAAGTGTTAAAAATCATAAATTTACAGTTTAATCTTTTCATGAAGCCATAAAAAAAACGTTAAAAATGAGACGAGCCAAAATAGAACAGGGAAAATTTGTGATTCAGAATCGGAACAAAAACATTTCCGAAACCGCTTTTAACGAGTGAGAAAGGAGATAAAAACGAACAAAAAAAATGGAAGGTAGAATGGAAAAGGAGGAAAAGAACGAAAATAACGTGCAAAAATGTTGATTCATTGGATTATTAGCTAACAATAAAGCTGCAAAAGGGGAAGAGGGCAATTGGGAATGAGTCAGAAGAAATTCCATAGATAAGGAGATCAAATGGTGCAATGCATTACTTCTCCGCGCCCAGTGAGCCGTTTCAAATGACTTATACAGCAATACAGTACAGCAATACGGCAGTTTCACCCAGAATTCCATGTAATTGTGCAACAGGTTTAGGCTTAGGATCGTCAGAATTACTGACGCGGGTGGGAGTCGAAACCGGATCGTGCGGGCTAGAGACAAGTGCGCTCAGGCTCAGGCTTAGGCTTAGGCTTGGACTTAGTGCGTAGGCTAGCGGCTAGCGCCTAGCACTAAGTCTATTTGGGTTTGGGCTGAACCCCCATCTTTTGGATCTCAGCCGGTTCCCGGAGCTAAGGTGCAAGCTTTTGGTGTTGTGCTTGCGCCCCCCATAGGAGTTAGGCTTAGGCTTAGGCCGAGTGGTTAACGCGCGCGTCTCTCAAACGAATGGAAGAGAGAGATCGAGGGTTTGACTTCTCTCGCCGCCAATTCTTTTGCTTTTTTTTGCTGCGAAGCTGCTGGTGATACATTATAAACTGTTTACTAACTAGACAAGGGTTTAGCTAACTGACTGTTTACTAACTCAGGCCAAGTCTAGAGCTTGTTCGAGCTCCGTCTTACTATAAAATCTCCTATAACATTGGAATTAACAGATAACAGAATACAGATAACAGAATTAACAAATAATCTAATAGAAACCGCGGCTTCTATTAGAAGCAATACAGTACAGCAATACGGCAAATCTTAATAATAACTGGGCAACTACTAGACCGACAACTACTAGACAGACAACTACTGGACAGATAACTACAAAACGAGGCTCCGCAAAGGGTAACTGTGTACCAGATTCAAGCTCACAGTTCACAAGCCATGTACAGCAATACGGCAAATCCACTGTACGATATAGCAATACGGCAAATCCACTGTATCCACAGGAAACAACTCATTGTATTGTTGATAAATCCACAGCTCACAGCCAACTCACAGCCAAATCAATCCCCTAGATTTGTAATGAATTTTTTTGAGAAATATCAAATAAAACAATCGAGTTAATTACTTTGTTGTGGTTACGGTATCTAGGCAATACGGGGAAAAGCCAAAAAAAATGAACAATGAAAAATGAAAAAGTGAGGGGTAAACCCAAAAATTTACGTGCTTTTTACCCCTATTTACCATCTACAGATTTCAAGAGAACGGAATTTTATTTATCCAAAACATAGACAACAACACGAAAAAGCGCTAACCCGGGGGATATTGTTGGCACTGTTTTGGATGAAATGGAAGAGAAAGGGTCACATGTACTCGTTGAGAGGTGTGAGATTCCACTAGATTTCATCTCGAGAGATTCTATTCATAGATTCGAAAAGAAATCAGATTGAACTACAGCTGTTCTGATCATTTGAGAGAAATACAAGAGATGTTTTCAAATATCGATCAGTTGATCCACTTGTCTCGTTTCGAAAACAATGCATAACAATGGGGGAAACAGAGAAAATCATTCACTCTAAACTGACTGTGGTTTGAATGGAAATGAATGGAAATCTCTTGCACTGAACTTTCAAAGGGGAATCGATTAAAGTTACAGTAAAGGGAATCGATTAAAGTTACAGTAAAGGGAAGCATTCAACTACAGTATGCGGAGGACTTGACAGCTTTTTGTAAGATTTAAAGAACTACTGATGAGTTTTATAACGGTCCAGAAGATGAGCCTTGCTTTCGTTGTGATGCTATCGCAGTCATGGAGTCCCAGTGGCCTCGGAAAGTCTTCATTTATCCATGAAAATTTGCATCTATAGACAATCAGGCACGCTGAATCCAATAAAAAGTTTCAGCTGAATTTCATTGGATTTTGGCAGTTGGGGCAATTGCGCACATCCCACAAAAATCCCTTTTTAATGAGCCATTTGTCAAAATCATCATCATCAGCAAGCTTGGGCCACTTGGTCAAAAAAATGAAAGCTTTCAGTTCTAGTCTACTTCCTGCAGCTCTACCCGCCATATCTAAACAGAAAATTTTTTTAACGAACTTCACGTACGAACAAAAAAACGAGGAAATCATTAAAAGCATGTGAAAATCAGGTGCTGAAACTATTCTTATTGAATTCAGCGTGCCCGATTGCCTATAGATGCAGATTTTCATGGATGAATGGAAATTTTCCGAGGCCCCGCCCACTGGCCGCCCTGATTGCGATAGCACGTTCATTGTTTCCATTCAACTCCTCAAATCATCTTACAGTTAGTTTTGGCCTTCATTGTGGTTCGGCTACGAAAAGCTCCAGATCCTCCACTCTTCTCCCAAATGGAAATATTAGGTTGGTGAATTGAAAACTGCCGGCTATTGTCATATGTGACAGTTTGAGCACTTTCTTTAAAAGAAACCCATTTTCGTGTCAATGGAAAAGTTGTAGAGAATCAAAAATTAAGCTTATATCCAAATTTTCAGAACGATTCAAAAACTGGTTTTCAAGAAATGCCAAATTTACGAATTTTCACAAAACTTGCATTTTAAGCGAAACTACTAAGTGTATCTTTTTGGAAATTTGGCTATAAGCCTAATTTTTGATTCTCTACAACTTTTCTATTAACACCAAAATGGGTTTCTTTTGAAGAAAGTGCTCAAACTGGACAACTGGAGGACACCTCCAGTCCTCCATTTTTGAGTCTCACACTTGTCTCACACACAAACCAAAATTCCTACTACGAAAGAGGAATCCGCAAATTGCCTGTAAAATGGGCAAAAGTCGTCAATAATAATGGAAATTATTTCGAATGAATTCATGGTTTTATGTTCAATAAATTTTAGTTCAAAATCCCGCAGTTTTCAATTCACCAACCGAATAGATTTCTTTCTCATTTCAAAACAAAATTTATCGCGCAAAACAATACTTTCGATTAATCTTACAAAAACAAATGATTTCAAAAGGAAAAAGAAACGACGACGCGGCGCTCCCATCGACTACCTCCAAATGGCGGCGATGTCAATTGGAATGCCTCGTCGCGCAAAAATTGGGGGTGGGACAAATGCGACCTTTTTTTGCTGGAAAAGGCCTTAGGAAAGGTCGTAGAGCTTCAAAAATGTTTTCATAGAAGGGAACCGTATGCGTAGATTCCGAATTTCAACAAATCAGACCTCGCTGACACGTCAAATTTGGGCTAAAAGGCAAAAACTGCGGAAAAGCGTTAAGTTGCGTAGTTTTTGCCTTTTAGCCCAAATTTGACGTGTCAGCGAGGTCTGATTTGCTTTGATTTGTCCAAAATTCGGAATCTACGCATACGATCCCCTAGTATGGAAACATTTTCGAAGCTCTACGGCCTTGCCTAAGGCCTTTTCCAGCAAAAAAAGGTGCGCAAATGTCCAGGTGCGCAAAAAAAGGTCGCATTTGTCCCACCCCCATTAATCTTACAAAAACAAATGATTTCAAAAGGAAAAAGAAACGATGACGCGGCGCTCCCATCGACTACCTCCAAATGGCGGCGATGTCAATTGGAATGCCTCGTCGCGCAAAAATTAACATTGAGAATTTGAGACAGAAATTCAAATTTTCAAATTAACATGAAAACGTCACAAAAACATTTTTTCCTCTCTGAAGGTCATTCTCTACTGATTAGACCTGCTTAACGAGTCCAGACAAAATTTTCAGACAGTCTGCCTCGCTCTTCGATTTTTTTACTGCCCAAAGCTCCTTCGAGCATGAAACCCAGTCCTCCCGCAAGCCCTTATTTTAAGCTTCATTTTGATACTAAACATGGCTAGGTTCTGTTTTGTCATTCTTCAAATTTGCATCAATCTTTCGATAGCTTATCGACTTATCCATCAATCGACTCGATAAGCTGAACGAGGCCAGAAAAATCTAAAATGATCCATCTAAAATGATCGAAATCTGAAGAATGACAAAACAGAATCTAGCTATGTTTAGTATCAAAATGAAGCTTGAAATAGCTATAAGGGGTTGCGGGAGAACTGGAGAACTTCATGCTCAAAGGAGCTTTGGGCAGTAAAAATCGACGGACAAGGCAGACTGTCTGAAAATTTTGTCCAGACTCGTTAAGCAGGTCCACTACTGATCTTAACCACATTATCTCATTAGTTGCATATGCAAAAAAAACCCTTCCCGATGTCTCAACCTCGACAGTTCAACAAAAAAAGGGAAATCGATTGTTCAATACATGCAAAAACCGGATATCAAAACTCCATTCACAAAAAGCCAAAAGGTATTTTGATGGAAAAAGAGGACAATAGAGGATAGAGAGAGAGAGAGAGAAAGAGGCTTGAGTCACAAGAATCGAATCTTTTCGGCCTTTTCCCTTAAAATTGCGGTATTCGGAGCAACTGAACACTATAATCTGTACAAACATGCTCTAGAGGAAAAAGGGGGAAAATGATAGAGGATTGGGGACAGACGTGAAGGGAAAAGGGTAGTGAAATGGGCGGGGAGATGATGAGACTGGCGACGACGGAGATGAGATGAAAAGAGGTGGAAATCGGGGCTGATCGAAAGGGAAAATATGCATAAAATGCATAGAAAAGATCTATAAAAAGGATCCATATAAAAGGCTTTGATGTTGGCTTTGGTGAAAAAGGTTTTTCATTAAAATCAGAACAAAGTACGGTGTGTACTTTATTGAAAAACGCTATTGTAGCTATTGTAGCTCAAAGTTCAGCTGTTTTGGCCTTAAAATCATCATCTAAAAATGACAAAAGTTAGAGGAGAATGGTGAAATTTGTTGAACTTCTCTTTTTTTTTTTTTCTTCCGAATTCAAATAGGCTTTTCCGCTCAAAAAGAGAGAAGATTGACAGAGAAAGATCGACTCAAAGTGAGAAAATAACTGTGGAAATGTCTTGCGTTACTTTTGACCCAAAACAAATCCAAAATTTGAAATTGCTAATACTAAAATCCCGTTGATCCACTCAAATTTTAGTATTTGACCCAAATCGGATGACTTGTTGTTACATCAAATCCAAAAATACAACCCCCACTTGGTGGATGGGTTGTAAAATGAGCACCAAAGGCCATCACCGGTTAGATGATCGCTTGAGATAGGATATGACGAGAGATTTTGAGATGTTCTTATCAAAAAGATCTCTAGTCATGTACGTGTTTGGATCAAAGAAGACGAACTTTTGTTGGGTTTGGCTGTTTTCTTTTTACTTAGTCTCATAATTTTTCTCATTTTATATGTGCCAGACATGTAACAACTTTATTAACTTTAAACCAATAATAGAATCTCTAACAAATCAAGGCACTCCGCAAGCGAAACTGAACGAAAACGAGCGAAACGAAACACATAAAGCGAAACTGAGCTCAAAAAATTGAATAGCAAGCCTAAAGCATTTGAACCTAATATGTGGTTCGAAATGGTCGCCTTTCCCTGTTGATCGGTAAAGTTAAGAAACCGCTTGGATAGAGGAGACCGTATGTAAAGTACCAGCAGATGATCGCAAAGGATGCACCCAGAAACTAAAATTAAAAATAAAAATTATTGTATTGAGCTCATTTAAATGATATTAAGATCAAAATTCTACTGGGAACTCATAAATTTCTGACCTTATCTATGAAGAAATGATAGTAGAGGCACGAGATTACAATTTGAACATCCTAAAAAGAAATATTTATTAATCAAAAAAATTAAATTCCTACCCAAAACACGTGTAATACCATCATTAAAACGAAGAAACACTGAGCCACAAAAGAGTCGAGTTGAAATTGTTGTGTATTCACATCCGAGTCTACTTCCAATTTGTTCCAACTACGAAACGCACTCGCCTAAAGTATATACAAAATTATTTATTAAGAAAGAAAAAGTTACTTCTTCAGAAATGATTAAAATCGAATACAACATCAAGAAACAATGCCCAGAGATGTCCATTCCGGGAATCCAATGACCTAAAGTAAATACAAGGGGTATTTCTTTTTGTGACTAGTTATTGAATAAATAAACCTCCTTGTTCTGAGCATTTATCACGAGAAAACATCAAGGATTTGTCACATCTTGAGGTCTTTTCGCGGACCCAATGAAAACTAAACATAAATATTGTAATGAAAGCAAAAAAAATAGGTACTTTGGTGGTTGGCGGGAGCCACCTCTATGTTTGATTTTTTCACGTTTCTCGGGATAATCGAGGGCGCTGAGCACGAATTTGACAGTTTTAGCATAGGTTTTCAATTCAAAAACCGACATTTCGACACGCTAAAAATTACACTTCCATTTTGCACTTTGAATGCAACTTCAAATTTGTGACTTTTTCTAGTCACTGCTATTTACCTAGGCTATGGCTCCGCACACCCGGATACCTGAGTGGGCACAAGCTATAGCCCGATTCACCCAGCCCTTCACCCAGCACCTTCCTCACACCAAGAGACCCAATCGGAGGCTCAGGTGGTGAGCTTACGGAGCTGGTGAATTAGGCTATAGCCTGCACCCGTTTAGGTCTCTGGGTGTGCTGAGCCATAGCTTAGAAAAATAGAAGCGTGATTTTTAACGTGTCGAAATGTCGGCTTTTCAATTGAAAACCTATGCTAAAACTGCTATTCGTGCTCAGCTCCCTCGATTATCCCTAGAAAAGTGGAAAAATCAAAAATATAGGTGTCCCCCAGCCACCAAAGTACCAGAAAATATTATTTATTTAAGTTATTAATAGTATTTTTAGTACATACGTCTGAATTGTCATGTACCACATTAATGTAGCCACCAACAATCGCATTAAATCCATAAAGATCGATTTGGCGTTTTTATGATGGAGCTAAAAATAATTTTTTTATAAATACAACTTCTAATAACTTGCCTTTGAACTGTAGAAGATAAAAGGTCCAACCACGAAGAGAGTCCAAAACCATCCAATTTTGACACCATATTGATTGAAAATACTTTCTTTCTAAAAAACGCAGCATTGGTCGCAAAAAAAATAATAAATACCTGTGCCAATGAGCCAAAAAACGAAGATTCAAGGGTAAATGTGAAAAACAAGGCAAATAGAGAAAACACCGTCACCAAGCCGATATGAACCATTGCTTTCTGCCGAACATCCAAAAATAAAAGCTTTCGAGCCATCTAAAACGTTTAATTTTATCTATAAACGAAAGATGTCTACCTGGATTAACATTCCGAGTGCAAAGTTGGGCGTATTCAACGGCGATGATCTCGTTCTCCCTAAACCTGGTGGACTTTTCGGCATCGAGGTCCCATTCGAAGAGTTGCTTCGACGTGCCTTTGGAGTAGGCACCATCTTAAATTTATTTACATTCTTCAAATTAAAATGAACAACATAGAGAAGAAAAATTCAACCAATAAATACACAAAAAGATAAATATTAACCATCCCTTTTGAAACGAGACGGTAAATAGGCGGCACCCTCTTCGAATGGAAGAATCGACTCTCCTCGTTTAATCTTTTCAGCTTTCTCTTGTTCTCTGATGATCTTCCAAATTTCAATCGTTCGATAATCAGCCTTCTCGAAATCGGGTCGTGCATTGAAGACTTTCTCGTCTTTTTCCTCGATTTTCTTTCCAAAGTTGAAATGCTCATTGACTCCATAAAGATCCTTGTCGTCAACAAGTTTATCCATCAATTTCTGCTTCGACTTCCAATCACCTTCTGGATCCAATGCGGCCAATTTCTTTTCTTTCTTCATTCGCCTCTTTGATCGTCGCTTCTCTTTCTTTTCCTTCCTCTTCTTTTTTTTCAAATCCTTCCTCGCTTTTTTCATTTCGTCATCCAGTTTTCCAAGGGGTGCCACCTTTTCGAAATATTTTTTCTTTTCCTCCTCTTTTCGTTTCAGCGCCTCCTCATCTGGCGGTGGAATGTAGATGGGTTTTGGCGCGCATCCTTCTTCCCATAATCTTTTTGTTTCTTCATCGGCGTCTTCTCGATATTTGGGAACTTTGTACTCGTCAACGTGATCGACTCGGAGGATTCTCTTCAATAAAGTGATTCCATTCATATTGTCCACGGCAAGTACAGTACTTCGTTGATCCTGGTAGCACAAAAAACAAAAGCCTTTTGATTTTCCCGTCTTACGATCACGAACCATGTTGATGTTGATCACTTCTCCCCATTGTGAAAATACCTAAAAATTCATGAGATCATTAATTACGCTCGGCTTTTTACAAAATCTTTGGTACTTTGGTGGTTGGAAGGGGCCACTTTTATCCTGGCTTAGTTGGATCTAATGTTTTGAGTATTGATACCTTTTATCTATCTATTCTAGGGTAATCAAATATGCTGATACTTTTAGAGCATTTACAACAAGTTTCAAGTTTCATATTGCCTCTTTTATTTGATTTTCAGGTGTAAGCAGCTTTGAGGTAGCGTTTGGTGGCTTTGGCTACCCTAGAATAGCTGAAAGGTATCAATGCAACCACTTAAAACATTAGCTCCAATTAAGCCAGGATAAAAGGGACCCCTCCAAATCACCAAAGTATCTTTAGTAAATAACAAAACTTACCGTGATGAGATCGCCTTCTGATAGCTCATAAGGGAGTCCTCCAACGTAGACCCACGCTGAATTTTTGTACGTTTTGTGCCACGATTTTGAGAGATCTCCGGCAATTCCGAGTGCGAGTTCTCTTTCGTTGAGTTTGTTCTGATTCTTGATGTTGGTGATCGGATTCATCCTGAAAATAAAAACATTTAAAAGGAAATTAAACAAATCCAAAAGAAAAAAAAATGTTGGGAAGGGCAAAGGGCAGATATTTCTAAATCGTAGTTAGTGCTGACTATATTTTTCGTATGTAATGGCTACACTTTTGCCTTTTTACGCTCTTCTTTTGTAAGTCATTTGCTTTCCCGTAAAACATTATTTTACCAATTTCTTCATTTTCTACACTAGTGTGAAATATAAATTTGCCAGACGCAATTCTAAAATTTTTAAATTTATTATAGGCAAAGATTGGGTTTGGAGGCGAAAAGTGAGAATAATGAATAACAATCTCGAATACGCAGTTTGGTTTATACTAAATTGTAATAAGAAAATGTGAAGATATTCAAATTTTTATCTTGAAAGTCTTTAAGGTCGTATTTATTGTTATAAATTCTAAGTTCTCAGCAATTTCGTGATTTTGTGCTTTCGCATCCGAGCTCCAAAAGCATTAATTGTCGGGAGTGGGACAAATGCGACCTTTTTTTTGCGCACCCGGACATTTGCGCACCTTTTTTTCCGCACCTTGCCCATTAGCGCACCTTTTTTCGCGTTTTAAAAAACTCTAAAAAGCTAATATTAACCAATTTCTATTCCAAAAGTTGTTTTTCTAGGTAATTTTAGGGCGTAGAATCGAAATTTTGACATAACAGAGCGTGTGGAACCAATTTGAAAGACAAAACGGCTAGATCAAATTACAGAAAATTGTCGATTTTTCTCTTTGTATAACTCCGTCCGTTTGTTTCCACAAGCTCTGATATGTCAAAATGTCGATTCTACGCCCTAAAAAAAAGGTGCGCAAATGTCCGGGTGCGCAAAAAAAGGTCGCATTTGTCTCGCTCCCTTAATTGTCAACTTAATTCGGGGTAGGCTAATTTCTGCCATTTTATTTGCGCATTTATGCGGAGTTGCGCAAATAAAATGGCGAAAATTAGCCTTCTCCCTTAATTCAATTCATTTTTCTGGTTTTTAATTTTTATAATATTTTATCATTTCAGGATGAGCAATTTCGAAGACCTGTGCGAGGAGATCCATGAGAACATAGATGGCGTGAATCGATACAATCCAGAGAATGTGACCCAATTGGAGGAGTGTGTTCGAGCGATGTGCAGCGAAGGGAAATATGATCGGGACATCTCGCTTACCATCCTTAAACTCTACCAACTGAATCCGGATCGATGGGACGAAGCGGTGGTTCGATCGATACTCATGAAGACGTTGATGGAATTGCCGGCTCCCGACTTTGCCCTTGCCAAGAGTCTCATCGATGCAAATCGCTTGAATAGCGCGGAGTTGAAGCGGGTGCTTGATTTGGGAGCGGTGCTCGAATCGTGCAATTTTGCCGCTTTTTGGAAATTGATGCGGGGTGAATACAAGCCGACGAATGAACCCAATGAGCTATTTCGTCAACCGGCTGAAGTTTCAAAAATGGTTCGTTCAATCAACGGCTTTGAGGAAGCAATTCGAGTTTTTGCATGTAAGGCCATTTCTGTGACCTATCAAAGAATCGAAAGGAGTACTCTGGCGCGACTCCTTGGTGGTGCCACTGACAAACAATTGGCCGATTATGCAACACACTTTGGATGGGAAATTCAGCCAAACGAGGGAACTATCTTCATTGCCAATCACGAGGCCAACATCAAGTCACGCAACATCGACGAGAAGCTTCAATTCACCAATGTCCTGGAAATTTTGAAGCAGATTTCCTCACAAAATCGGGATGAATAGAAATGAAATGTGTTTTTTTTGTTGTTTCACGCTGTCATTATTTATCCATTTGTCTTGTTTTTCTGGGCGTACTTTTTCAAAATTGAATTGTTACCGTATAAATTTCAGATAGTCCAACGAGGGATGGATGAAGAATGATAGATAAAGCAAGATCCAAAGGTGTGGTTTCTTGAAGTTTTATCTATTCTACTTTATCACTAACACTAATGGATTCTTTACTTTAGTTGGGAAAACACGCGAACCAGACAGTTTCTTCGATGTGAGTGGCGAAAGAATACACGCTTTTATTCGATGTCATCTACTTCAAATGCGATGTTTCATCCTGTGTCTACAGTTCACTTTCAATTGGTGGGATTTTTCGACGGATGCCTTCAAAGGGGTTCCTCGACAATATTCAAACGGTAATTTTTTTGATTGTTCTTTACTGTGTGCTTAATTTTCAGAATTCACATTGTTGGATAGAGTGATACTTAGACTGCTGTCAGGATTAAATCGTTGGGATGCCGTTCACTTTTTGCACATTGCGGAATATGGGTGGGTCTAACCAAAACTTTTTATGGGTTTAAATGAATTAAAGTTATTTTTAGGTATACTTGGGAACAGAATTTGGCATTTTTCCCACTTTTTCCAATGATGGTCCGCACACTGACGTATTGCTGGGCTTCTCCGTTCCTCTATTTGCAACTTCTACACTTCTCGACCGTGTTATTGGTTACATCTACACTTTTAAATCTGGTTTTTTAAAATCTTATAAATAAAGCTTGGTTTTTAGGTATGCTTTGTTCTATCGGGAATGGTTCTTTATCGTATCGTTTTTAACGTCACCTCTTCTACAAAGGTGCTTATATTTATCCAAACGATAACATCTTAAGTTCTAGCAAGCTCTACTGTCAGTACTCATCTTTTCGATCAATCCTGCTAGCATATTTTTCTCAGCTGCATACAGCGAATCTTTGTATTGTTTATTGACGTTTAGCGGAATACTCCTACTTTTGGTAAGCTTATTTCTTCCCCTTGTATTATTAAAAGCCATCTTTAGAATTATGGACACTCAAAATATTTAACTTTCCTTCTTGCCTCCATCGTCTTTGCGTTCTCATTTGCTGCTCGGTAAAATTGTATTTGTTTAATCAATAAAATGTTTTTAGATCGAATGGGTTTCTGAATTTTGGATACGTAGTGTGGTACTGCTTTATTGCCCATTGCAAAGTGAACAACATGTGGGAGCTAAACAAAACACCGATTTTTACCTTATTGTTTCAAGTAAGAAATATTTTATTTTTAAACTTAATTTATTTCAGCCCTTTCTACTTGCCCTAAAATTATTGCCGTGCTTTTTCATTATGCTCTCGGTTGTTCATTTCCACGGATTGAATGAGGTAATTGGAAAAAATAATTAATATGTTAAGTGATATTTCAGTATCAAAGGTTTTGTGTGCCAAAACAAACTGTGAATCCTTCATATCTTCTTGATTTTGCCGAAGCAGAGAATTTTTTGGTTCCAGGAACGCACGACTTTGATTGGTGCAAGTAAGTTTTAAAAAAAACACATTCTAGTTCAGATAATTGGTGTTTTGTCTAGGGACTCTTACTTTGAGTCGCTGTCATTTCTTCCGCCTTGGTATACTTCTATACAACATAGATATTGGGACGTTGGTTGGTTTGATTTTCTATAAAAGTTAATTAACATTTCTAGGGTTTTTTGCTTACTGGAAGTTAACAAAACTACCCTGTTTCTTGTTAGCGATGCCGGCATTCAGCATATGTCTATTTGGAGTTCGTACAACCTTTAATTTGTTGAGCAGCTACGGGTTAGTTTCTTATCTTAAGGTCAAACTTAATTGTGCTTGCAGGTCATTTTCTACATTCATCAACGATAGCATCCACCTATTACCATTCTGTCTACATGCGCTATTTATGGCATTAAGCGCTATTTTTGTTTACAATGTTGAGGTAATTTATTAATTCCATGCAAGTAGGTAAATATTTCTCTTCAGGTCTTTACAAGGATATTCTTCTCATCGAGTCCATTTCCATATTTGATACTGGCCAAATGGATGAGTGATCTCACGCCTCGCGTTCGTCTTTCTGATCTGATGTATCCATCATTTTTGCCATTTTTTTCTAATTTTTGTCGTCGTGGTGGGCCTGAAGGCCTATATTGTTGGTATACACTGTCTTATTTTATTGTAGGTACCCTATTTTTTGTTACATGGCTTCCATTTACTTAAGCTCTCTTGTGATTGATGTTGACTAGTCTATTCTTATATTTTCTGTGATTTGGATTATTTACATTGGTTTTGTTTGGTATGATGATCTCATTTTGTAAAATAAGTAGGATTCTTCGAGTAAATTGTAAACAATGAGGAATTAGATGAAAGTTTTGGTTGTCAGAACCTGTAAGGAGGTATTTGAGATGGTGTGAGGCTATTTTATTTTTTACGATTCGTACATTTAGGACACGAGCGCATTGCGCACCCGTTGCTCAGATGGTTTGTATTTAAAGAAAATTATGTTTTTACGAGTTAACCATTTTAATTTTTCTTTATCTAGAATCTGGTAACACTACATACATTGCTCATTTTATTACACGTTCTTAATTTTATGCATGATCATAAAAGGTTTAATGTTTGATAGTCAAAGTTTTATTTTAACTTGTTGGACAAAGATAGTTTTTAATTTAGAGATGGACCATTCGTACAAATCTTCTTGTTCTACGGATGGCGAACCCCCGGTTAAAATGAGAGCATTGAACATTGACTATGAAGTAAGTATTAGCTTTTTGCTAAATCATACAAATTTTAGGAAAGAAATTTGAGAAACAAGCCGCTCACCGGATTAGAAGCTGAGGATCTAGATGTTGTCAAAGCATGGGTAATTTTTTTTTAAGTTTCTCAATTAAAAATCTTTAGATTTGTACCCCGCCTTCGAATAATCCTTTGCAAAGCTATAATGAAACCATCGAAGAATGGGTATGTATTTAACTTTTTTTTAAAGACTAAATGATTTAGTGGCACCACGCCTTTGATATTGAGGATCAGCACTCTGTTGATTATCAAACTAATCAATTCACTCGAGAAGGCATACAACGTGTACTCATTTGGAAGAGGCACCAATTGAGGGTTAGTCATAGCTTTTTGAAATCTTAATTTTGTTTAATAATGTTTCTTTAGCTCAATGAAACACCATGTGATGGTGCAGAAGAGGCATCTCACGCTGCCACGCAAACGATAGCAACAAGTATCGACTTATTTGACGACAAAAAAGAAAATATTGACAAAATTCCCTTGCCAAAAGTTTCAAGTTCAGAAAAGGTATTTACTTTTGCGGACTTTCTTTATCAATCGTATCGGATTTAGTCAGTACAAGTACCTACAGGAGAGCTGAACATGGTGAAGGTTAATGGTTTACTTTCCTTCTGTTATTGATTAGTTTAGGTACAACAAGAACCGAAAGAACAACTAGAAACTTCATGGACTCAAGAACAACTCAACACTCTGCACTTTTACAATTACTGGGCCCCAATCATTTTGGTGAGGGTAAAGCTATTGATTTAATCGTTTGCTTTAGCAACTTCAACTGCAGGCTGCTACGGCACAGCAAAGTTTATTGGTTCATGCTGCAAATTACAATGGTCCACTCCCGCGTTCTGTGCCATCTCCAAACGTCTCTACACCGCTCTCACTTCCGGACAGTTCATTGGCGCTGCTCAAAGATAATTGCGAGGCGCTGCAAGTAAGCTTTACAACACGATACAATTTTGTATTCCATGCAAGATCTTAAAAAATGTCAGCTATTTGTTTAGGTTGCAGAAGTCTCAGCTGGAGAACCCTCTACACAAGAAACGACTTATTCACCAATGCAATTAGACGTGCCAGACAATGCCAGTTCGAGAGGTAGTGTATCGATGAGCATTTCAAGTGGTCGAAGCTCTGAAGAAAGCAAACAAGAAAAAGTTATCATAGAATCTTCAACAGCAAGCCATAGTTTTTCGGTTGGTTTTAATTAAATATCAATCAAAAAAGAAGGGTTCAGGCAAAAACTCAACGCGAGAACATTGCAATTGAAAGACAACACGTGTTCGCGGATTCTGTGCTCGATCCAATCAAACAATCACAAAACAATCAAACACCAAGTAAGGTGTTTTGCCTTTTTCATATAGATTTTTTAGCCTCGTCAAAGAGGATCGCGTTTTCATTGAAGTTAAAAAGTTCAAACAATGCATCAAAGAAATGACCGTCGGAAGCAAAGAACAACAAAACTTTTATATTCTTTAATTGTTCTAGATTTTTTGCTAGTCTTTCAAACTTTAATTGCTCATTTCAAATGTTCTTATACCTTATGTTTCCATTCCATTGCCTGTTTCTTGGTTATAAAATTGATCTCAAGTTGTCACTTTTGTTATTGCTTGTTTGTTTTGTAATAAATTTTGTTAATATGTGAATCAAGATGTTTTGGAAGCGTTTGGATTGTACGTATCTTATTCATTAAACATTGCTATTTCGCGTTGGTGTGGGGGCGATACTATTTTATCCGTTCATAGTTTTGGAAACTGATTTTTTTTCCTAAGACTGCTTATTTAAAGGAGTAAACTTGCATTTGTGAAGCAATTCATAACCCCTGAATTTTACAACGAGAAAATTGCCATCCATCTAAAGTTATTCTTTTAGGTTTCGATGGCTAAAGGCATTGAAATAGAACGAAAACGGAAGCACAAATCGCCAACACAAAGTGGAAAGTCGAAGAAGGTTTCCAAAAACATTAAAGCAATTTATTGTATTTTTGTAGAAGAAAAGACCACAGAATGGAGAAGAAAGTCACGCAGAAGAAGCAAAGCTTTTACTATTGCCGACACGACAAAGCGAAGCTCAACAATTGTTGGTAGCGGCAAGGGCGAAGAAACTAGCACTGATTGAAGTGATTGTTCTCAATTGAATTGTTCAGGCAATGTATTCTTTTAGGGTCCAATCGGAAGTGGAAAAAGTTTCCTCGCGCAGGTGGTTGCTGATAACCTTCAAGTGCCAATTAAGATCTTACAAATGGGTGATCAAACTGATTCAAAGGTATGAATATTGAGTTTAGTGGGAGTCACTTTCAAAATTTAGAGTCTATTTGGAGCTTATCACGGAACCGAGGTTGCTGGACAATTTATCTGGGCATCTTCTCCATTTACTAAAGTAATATTTTTGAAATGCTGCTTTTTTGAAACTTGTTACTGGTAATTCAAAGCATTTGGGTATTTTTAGTGGCTGAGCGAACCATGTTTGATTTTGATTGAAGACATCGATCATGCCTCTTCTGATGTTGTTTCCAAGATAATCACTTTATTTGAAGAACGAATCGTCACTTTGCCAAATGGTCTTGAGGTGACACTCCATCGCGATAATTGCTGTTTAGCCACAATATCGTGCGTTTTATTTTGAAAGTTAGCAATACGAAATTCATAGGCCTAACTTAACTTACATTTTACCTTTAAGTGAAAATGGTAAACGAAGTTGCTTGCTCGAAGGCATTTCTGTCCGAGTTGCGTTGTCATCATTCACCGATAATGAACTTCAGCGATTGGTTAGCCAAGCATTTCCTCGAATATCGCACATTGCAAGAACACTTTGTCAGGTAAACTCAAAAAGCTCGATTTATTTTAGTTCAACCTTCAAATTAAGATTTTAGGCTTTTCGCGAAGTTGAGAAACTGCCGGCAACAGGCCATTCTCGAAATTTAACAGCAACGTAAGCTTTTGCGTTACCTCAAAATCTAAACCCAAAATTTAGAGAATTCATTCGAGGGTGCAAACGAATGTCTTATTTGAGTGACTTGACTGATAATATCACAGTTTTCACGGAACTTATCGACACATGGTGTTTAGCCGATCACGAATCAAGGTAAAAAATTTTTGACGTGTTTGAAGATTAATAAAAGTTTAGAGCCTCAAAGTTGTGTAGCAGGGTTGCTTCGTCATTATCCATATCAGCAGATCAAGTAAAACCATTGAATTACCCAATTCTGTTAACTTTATTATAGATGAACCATCATTTGAATATTCGACAGCCAACTCTGCGGCTAGACGACACCACCGTTTTCATTGGAAGAAATACGCTTGAGAGAGAAGCCACGTTAAAGGTTTCAACAAATCTCACTCACTAAAAATGCCATATTTTTAGACCAATATTCAATCGCAACTTGGATACACAAAGGATGTTCTACTTTTGATGGAAAGAATTGCCACGTGTGTTCAATATAAAGAACCTGTTTTATTGGTGAGCAAATATGTTAAACTGATACATTAAAATAAATTGTAGGTGGGCGAAACAGGAGTCGGAAAGACATCAATCGTTCAAGCGCTTGCAGGAATGTTGGGTGTGTCGTTGCGGGTTGTAAATTTGAGTCCAACTTCCGATGCAGATGAATTGATCGAAGGGTGCGCATTTGAATATTTGGAATTAAGATAGCTTTCAATTTAGTTACAAGCCTACATCGACAGCACACTTGCTTGAGCCGTTCACAAAAACTTTTTATGAACTCTTCAGTAGCTCGTTCGATTCAACGAAAAATCAAAAATTCGCCAAACATTTGGAAGTAAGCATGCCTACTATAACCATAAGCAACATAACCCTTTGTGGCTAAACCAACGGCATAACATTCAGGAATGTCTCACACATGGCCGATTCAAGGACTATCTCTCTGTTGTGGAAGTCACCGCGCAGAAAGCAATTTGCCGACTAGAAAAGGATGGAAAAGCTAAAGAAATACAGAAAAAGGTTGTTGCTTTTTTTCTTGTGAAAGTTATTTTATGGTTTAGTGGGCCGATTTGATTGTCAGAGCAAGACGAATAAAAGGAGGACTCGCAAAGAACGCTTTGTTATTCACTCTTACCAGTGGCGCTGTTAAAGAAGCTGCCGACAAGGGAGATTGGCTACTGATTGATGAGGTTTACTTTGATTTAACTAATAAAATGGTCTGTTTTAGATTAACTTGGCGTCTCCAGAGTGTCTTGATGCTATTATGTCATCAGTCGAGCACTCACATCCAAATTTTCGACTTTTTGGTTGTATGAATCCAGCTACAGATGCCGGAAAGAGGAGGTAGCTAAAAGAATATTCAAAATAAAGCTCTTATATTTCAGATTGCCAGCTGGGGTACGCTCAAAATTTACCGAATTCTTTGTCACAGAAACAACTGATCGCTTTCAACTTGCACAGGTATAGATGTGTTTAAACTACATAGGACAAAAACTATTTAGATTGTCACGACTTATCTACCATCACTTCAAGCAAGCATCACAGAAAAGCTGGTCAACTTCTATCTGGATGTTAAAAAAATGTTTCCAGCACATTTCAGGTATCAATTCGGCAATTTGTTGAAAGCAGTGATAGTTTAGTTTGCGCACATTTTGTCGGGCTCTTCTTTTTGCATCGGACAATATTTTCGGAAATGTAGAACGTTCATTACATGAAGCAATTCATATGGCTTTCCTCACAAACTTCGAGATTCAAGAAAAACAACAAGTGTTGGAGAAGATGTAAGCCTTTAGTATGTTTTAGCTACAGTAATTTTAGCGAGTCGTACTTTCCAAGGACAAAATCAAAAAATGAACTTGCTCCTCCTGGGTCTTCGAGCGATTATGTTAAGGTTGAATAAGAGACAAATTTTTAAAACCTAATGATTTTAGGTCGGAGGATTTTGGATTAAATGTGGCACCGAGTTTCCTCAAACCGATCCGAACTACGTGGTGACCAAATCCGTTCAAGAAAATCTGACCGATGTTAGCAGAGTTATTTGTAGTGGGCGGTTGGTTGTACTTATCACCTTTTTAAAAATGAATGTTTTAGGTTTCCGGTGTTGCTCGAAGGCGAAACATCGTCAGGGAAAACATCAATGATTCTTTATCTCGCGAAGCTTACGGGAAATAAAGTTATAAGAATCAACAACCACGAACATACAGATATCCAAGAGTAATTTTTATAAGATTGGTTTTAAAATTGCGTTTTCAGATATATGGGATCCTATGTAGCTGACTCGTGCGGGAGGCTTGTTTTTCGTGAAGGAGCTCTTGTTTCGGCTGTGAAAAAAGGCTACTGGGTAATACTCGACGAGTTGAATTTGGCGCCCACTGATGTGATTGAAGCATTGAATCGAGTATGAATGTTAATAAACTGCAATAGAATATCTTTTCCTTTTAGCTGCTCGACGATAACCGCGAGCTGTATATTCCGGAAATCAATAAAGCTGTCAAAGCTCATCCGTCATTCCGTCTATTCGCTACACAAAATCCTGCCGGAACTTATGCGGGTCGAAAGAGATTAAGCAGGTGCAGATTTTAACTTTAGTTAAGGTACTTGTGCATTACATGGTTTGTTAAAATTACATAAAAAATGTACTGTGCAATGCATAAATACTTGATTGTAATGAATTGTTGTAGAGCACTTCTTTCACGATTTGTTGTTATGCGTATGTCTCACCTACCGTTCGATGAATTGTCGTCAATGGTAATTTTTAACTTAATTCACCGATTTACGTGCGCTAAACAGGTCTGTACTCGGTGTTCAATTCATCCAAAAGCAGCCAATAAAATGATCGAGGTTCTTTCCGAATTACGGTATGTTTAATCAAGCGAAACCATTTTAATGTTATTATTTTACGGTTTAGGTTACGACGCTCTTTATCCGGCGTGTTTTCTGCTCGTGACGGATTGATGACTCTGCGTGATGTTTTTAGGTATTTTAAAACCTTCAAAAGACTAAAAGTAGGCAACTAGCAGCAATTTTTAAAACGAATTCAGGTGGGCAAAAAGACTAGCGATGGATGAAAAGGAAGAGAATTGGCTAAAATCACTTGCCAATCATGGATATTTTCTTTTGGCCGGTCGATGCAGAAATGCAAAAGATGTGCAAACTGTAATCAGCACTCTTGAAAAAGTAATACGATTTTTTCGTATTTTCAACCAAGGTGAATGTAGGTTTTCAAGCAAAAGATCGATGCAGATGTCTTATTCTCGACGAATTCAATCTATTTTCCGAAGGATTTAAACACGGAAAACATCATTTTAACCAGAGTAAGTACCTTTCCAAAGAAAACGTTTTTAATGTAAGCTTTTTAGGGAATGCGTCAAATGCTCGTGATGACCTACCAAGCATGGCTTTGCGACGAAGCTGTTCTAATCGTGGGAGAAACTGGAGGTATTTTGTGGAGGTTTAAATAAAGAAAATTAAATGAATAGGTGGAAAGACAAGTCTCGCAGAAATGATGGGGAAGGGACATTTGCTGACGTTGAATTGCCACGAACGAACGGAGACAGCTGATCTTCTTGGTCGATTGAGACCTCGTGATGGCGGAGGGTACATTTCAAAAGTTCAGCTAGCTAAAATAGTGGCCTTGCAAAAATAAACTTAATCAACCAAAATAGGATACGATATATACAATTTTTTTTAGATTCGAATGGGCCGATGGAATTGTCATCAATGCGATGCGAGAGGGGCTCCCATTACTTATTGACGAAATTTCCTTGGCTGAAGACTCTGTACTTGAGCGTTTGAATCCACTTTTCGAGGAAAATCGGTTGCGTTTAAAGTTCTCTGCAAATGATTGTATCACTGTTCTAGATCTCTACTGTTAACCGATGCAGGTGTCGAGGTTCAATTGGTTGAAGCGGCGAAGGATTTCAAGATCATCGCAACAATGAATCCTGGTGGTGACTATGGAAAGAAAGAGGTTTTAAATGTACAAGATGTCTAAAAATTACTTTTGTTTAGCTCTCCAAAGCTTTGCGGAATCGATTCACAGAAATATGGTCAGCGTGCGACTTTGAGAAAAGCGAACTATTGCAAATTTTTGATCTACGTTTGGAAAAGGTTTATCGGATTTACCAACCTTTAGTTGTTTTTTTAGTTTCTTACGTCTGGAAACAGTTTGGAGAAACCAACATTTGCTTCAGAGATTATCATCTCTTGGATAACTTCTTTCTTTCACGAATTTGGACATGTCTTCAGGTTGGAGCTTGCAGATCAATTATCTAATTTACGGTAATTTTAGGAGTGCACCATCAGTTCGAGACATTGTGGCGTGTGCTGATTTGTATGCAGCAGCTAGACTACATGAAATCAACGAAAACGTAGGTCAATGTTGTTTTAAGCAAAACGTTTTGGTGTAGGTCGCTATCTCTGAGGCAATACATTCGTGTTTTCTTGATGGTCTCTCCTCATTGCCTTCTCGCATATCGATTGACGTGACAAAAGTCAAACAAGAGGCCGACCAATTGGTTAATTTTTTGGGGTTTTGAAGTAATGTGTCTTTTTAGATCAAGAAACTTTTACCGACGTTGTTGCACTCACCGATAGATTCTTGCAATTTTGAACGCCGATCACATGCTCTGAAGATTGGGCCATTTTCCATCCCCTTTGGACCGTCACCACCTGAACACCCAGTTGGATTTTCTTTTGATGCCCCGACTTGCTGGTCCAATTTCTACCGAATTGCCAGAGGTCTCTTGATTTCAAAGCCGATTCTTTTGGAAGGATCTCCGGGATGTGGGAAAAGTAGCTCGGTAAAGTTTTGGGCTTGTATTAAAATATTTTCTTTAAGGTTGTTTCACTTGCGCGTGTCACAGGACATCAAATCACTCGTGTGAACTTATCGGAGCAAACGGTAAATTTTTGGAAAATTACTAGGCAACTAGACATATGGCCTGATTTTAGGATCTAGCGGACTTATTTGGAAGCGATGTACCTGTCTTGTTGCCTGATGGAACAGTGTCTTTCCAGTGGCAGGATGGACCAGTTCTTCGAGCTATCAAGAACGGCGAATGGATTTTACTTGATGAGGTAAAGGCAAAACTATTTTCTACTTTTATCTACAAGTTTCAGATGAATTTGGCGTCTCAATCGGTTCTGGAGGGCCTAAATGCTTGTTTTGATCACCGACACACCCTCTACATTGCAGAAATCAATCGAAGTTTTAAAGTACGATTTATTTAAAGAAATCAACGCAACTTTGACTCAGATTCCAATTGGCTCAAAAGTGCGGTTCTTTGCTTGTCAAAATCCACGCGCCCAAGGTGGAAATCGACGAGCTCTTCCGAAGTCGTTCATCAATCGATTTACAACGGTAAAAAAATTATACTTGTGTAACTTACCAAATTTTAGATATGGATTGACGACCTTACCTCCGATGATATCTATTATATTTTACGCGAGGTCGTTATTGCTAAATGTTTTCTTATCAACAATTTTTAGAACAAGTTATCGAATGTCATTGATGACTCTTCATTAAAAGCTATGATTGCTGTCAACAAGGAAGCATCTTCACTAGAAACTCTTCATGGAGGACCATTCACATTCAATCTACGAGATTTGTTAAGATGGATTCAACTGTACGACGAGGTTGTTAATACTCGATCTATAGGCTTTTTACGCAAATGTTCAGACGCAAAGCTTAGCATCTGGATTTGACACTCTCTATGTTGCAAGGATGAGAAACGAAAAGGACAAAGAGACGGTGTGTAATTTGTCTTGTTGATTGCACATATTATATTTTAGCTCAAAGCTATTTTCGAGCAACATTTTCTCTTCAAAAGTGCCAGTGTTCCTGCAATGTTAACAACTGAAGCCAAAAGCATGTTGATCGGAGATATGGTGCTTGAGCGAAAAGTGACAAAAGGAGGTTGGTTAAAAAAAGCAATGCGCTTATTACAAGCTAAAAAGGACGATAAACTTAATCGAACATTCAGAAAATTCTTCATTCCTTCTTCTACCTTCTCAAGCTACTTCACTTTATCGTCTGGCAACATGTGTGAAGATGGGATGGCTATCATTATTGATTGGACCAAGGTTGACTAAGCGTTTAGTTATTTTTGAAAGTTTTTGTTTAGAAATTGTGGAAAGAAGACAATGATTGGTGCAATGGCCACGTTAACGGGAGCTGAACTAATGACGATGAATTTGAGCGCTGATACAGATGCCCAGGAGCTTATTGGAAGTTATGAACAAGTGAATAAAGAAAAAATCTACATTGTTTTATTATCGTTTGCAGATCATCGACGATTCTCATATTCATCAAGCAAGAAAAGTGTTATGCTCACGTCTCGAGGGATTGGTTGACAATGAAGAAGTTGATGCTATAAGAAATGCAAAAACTTTGATGGGACTAGAAGCGGCGGTTGAGGTTTGATTGTTGATGTAACTTGGAGTAAAACTTGAATTTAGTTAGCTTTGTCCACAAGTAAACTGGCTTCAGAGGTTATTGACGAGTGTCAAGCCGTCCTTGAGATGGCGGCTAAAGCGGATATCAGGTGATGCTTTTAACCGGATATTTAATTTCAATTTACGGAGTTTAGATTTGCCTGGATGGATAGCAAATTTGTTGATGCATTTGTGAACGGACATTGGATACTTCTCGAAGATGTGAATTTGTGCAGGTTAGAAAACATTCATTAAGCAGCCTGCTATTAACATATCTTAAGGCATCATTGAACTTTTAGTGGAGCAGTTTTGGATCGACTCAACAGTTGTTTGGAAGCAGACGGAGAACTTGTGATTGCTGAACGTGGCGATTTTATTCCACTTCGTCGCCATGCCGATTTTCGGTATGATCCTAACAAGAAAACATTCAATATTTATTTTAGAGTGTTTTTGTCAATGGACCCTACTAATGGTGAAATTTCGAGAGCGATGAGAAATCGAAGCGTTGAGATTTTTGTTGATAAGTTATGGGCGAACAGCTTGGTAGATACTAAAGCCATCGTGGAAAAACAGGCTGCAACAAATGTTAATCTTTCGGATGAGGTTAGGAATAACTTATGCTTTATACGGAACGAAAGAATTTTAGTTTCTGACATTCCTGGCTAAGTCGAACAGCCGAAATCTACTTCATTTTGGAGTGCTTCTCAATGGATTTGAGCCCGAGGAAGCTGCTCGGTGTGTGGGCATTCAAGTTGATGGCGATGCACTAGAAGTTTCTGAAAAGTTTGAAGTTTACAGTAACCGTAACGTTCATCTCTTAAGGTCCTGCTTACATCAACCACTAACAACTGAAATCGTTGACCTTCAAGCGTCGTACTTGAATTGGTGGTTCAAACTTTGGACCATTGTCAGCGCGGTAATTTTAGTAAATGAAGTCAACTTATTCTCTAATTTAGGATGATCCTTTGGGCGGTTTGCTAATGAGAAGTTTGGCAGCAAATGCCCCAGCTTTGAAGAGCGATAAATGGAATGACTCGCAACAAGGTGGCTCAGTTATTACCAAAGTCACTTGAATTACCAAAAAAATTAGCAAACAAAATCCTAAATCGGGTGAGAAGAGTCATCAAATCGTCTCCCAACAATCTACACCCAATCGATTCACGATTTAACGGAATGACAAGGTATTGATGATGTCTTAAAAATTATTGCTGATTTTAAAAAAGATTCAATGATGCTTCTTTGTTCGCTGTCAACATCTTTCAAGAATGGTCTTCACTTGAAATCGAAACAAAGCCTTTGGGATTGCAATCGGCAGAAAATCTCTCAAATACGCTGTCAAAATGTACGTTTATAAATTTCAATGTTCGATAAAATCTAATTTAAGATGAAATGGCTTTGAATAGCTTTGCTTTTGAAGGACTTCCCCTGCTATCATTACTGATAAAAGAAGCCCGACAGCATCTGGGCGAGAACATTTCAATCAAGGTGGTATGCCTAATTGTTTTGACATAAATACAATATTTTATTGATTCCAGAAGGTGGACGTGACCGAAGCACAATCGGCCACTTTTTTACTTCGGTTGTTGATGTTTTGCATTAAAGCTCGTGAAGATTTGAATGAACGTTTTGGACCGGCTCATCTTTATATTGCTTGGACCAAATTACAACAACTTGATTGTTATGATTTGTGAGTGCTTGATAGTAAAATTCTTGACCAATCTCGATTTAGGATCTCTCAAAGTTTTCCATCTTTCCAAACTTTCTCCCGTCTTTGGTCATCGGACGCATTTGATGTGTTTGTGAAGCATTATTTAAGTCGTTACAAAACCGCTCGTGCCGTGAACCCATTTGAGAACGAAGAAACATGCCAGGTTTTATCATCGCGACTATCAATGAAGAAAGATTTAGGAGTTTTCTCAAAATTTGGAAAGAGTTTTAAAGAGAATCAACAGAATGGATGACGCTTCGGAGTCGATCAAGCAAGAGGTTTGTGTTGATATCATGGTGACTTAATAATCAATTGGATTTTAGGAAGAGCCCATCCATTTGGCTCAAAAGTTGATCGCTGGCGCAGAATCATTGCTCAAATACTTTTACACCTTGGACGACAATAAAGTAAGATGATTGACATTTTTTTAAATAGAAATTTTCAGAGTCACGAACTTTTGATGAGTCTGGAAGTTTACGATAATTTTGTTTGGAACTCTGAATATTTGAAGAAACCAGCGTGTATATCAAACTTATTGAATGCATTCTTCTTTAGGGACCTCACGGTAGGTATTTGGGTGCTTCTATAATACATAAGAATATGTTTAGGTGTTCAATTTGTCACAAGCCTCGTCATTTTTCATTTCGACGTCGGCTTTCTGGGAAAGCTTTAGCTATGACCCTTCTATGTCAGCTATGAAGGTTTGCCATTGAAGAAATCAAATACGATTTTGAGTTTAGATTCGAGATTTATTTAATCTTTCGATTCAATCATTGCGCTCACAATTTTGGCGTTTGGCTGCCAATGCTCAATCTTTACAGGAGAAGATCAGGTAAACCCACATGGGTATTCAAGAATCACTTCTGCAATATTTTAGTGATGAGCTCTCAAACTTACCACTCGGATTAGAAGAATGGGTGAATCTGGAGGAAAGAACGTCTACATCATGGAAAGATCGTCTGCACGTCGGCTTGGCTGCTATGAAATCGTCATGTCCACCAAAAGAAACGCTGGATCCTTTGGTGTTTGGGGAAGCGACAAATAACTACATCGAAGAATATCTCTACCTTGTGAATCGTCCCTTGAAATGTTTGGAGTCTTATCGTCAACTTTCTACTCAACAAGGGCCGGATTGTGACGCGAATTCCCCTCATCCGATCATTTCTTCACTTTGGGGAGAACGTGAACACCTAAAAGTAAGATAGTTAACTAGACTGACTTGAATTTTTATTTTTTAGATGGAGATCAATTCGGACAATGGCCAACAACATTTCTATCGTCAAAAGGCCAAAGAATATGCGGCCTTGATCTATGAAATGCATTCGATTCTGCAATTGACAACAGAAGTATCAGAGACATTGGGAAAAGAAGACATTTTGGTTTGTGGCTGTTAGAAGGCCTTAATTATGATTTTTAGCTGACCGGACTTTCGGAGATCGAAATGAGCTTTAATCAACTGAATTCTTTCCTCAGCAGTGTTCAATCTTTTATCTTTGGTTGCTTCCAACGATATTCATCCTTTGTGGATGTCTCCGTCACTTTTATCGTGTCACTTTCGGTTCTCACGGCTGCAGTTTTGGAGGTTAACAATTCGTGGTGCAATTATTTTTGCTCTACATATTTCAGATTACCTCAATGTTGAAAACGCGCATGGAGAAACAACGTTTGATCACGGAGTTCAATTATCCACAGAAGTTATCAGTGAGTGTTGGAATGTTATTTTGTATTTCTTGGGTTTTAGTTCACCTTGGCGTCAAATGAACCCATACCAAAAGAGTTAGAGGTATGGGCTGTGGCAGACAGCTCTCCTTTGCCTCTACGATTAAAAGCCCGAATTGTTGGTAAACGTTCTCAAGAATCAGAAGTTTCCGGCTCGTTAGAATGGATCAAAGAAGAGTGGAAGAAATGGTAGTGCTAGAATATCCACGAGTATTATTTTTCATTTAGGCACGAGAAATATGTCAATAAAGCCAAGGAAAAGGAATTTGTCTACCGCGATAAGACACAAGAAGAACGAGACGATGCAGAACAAGAAGAGTTCTTCGAGAATATTGTTGAAGACAGTTCAGAGGTTGTTTGTTTTTGATCAGGGATATAATACTGTATTTCAGATTCTGACAGCCAATCAGTTATCCGAATTGATCAACGAAACCTCTACCATCAAAAATTCAAATGATGCTCATGGACGATTGCACGACGACGAGAAACTAGCGCTTCTCTGGTTGAAGAATCTTGCTTTCAATGCTGGAGATTTGCCTTTAGAGTCTCAATATCATTTTGCAGGTAAGTAAGTTTCTTGAAGTGTCAAAATCAATTTTTGGTTTGTTTAGATCGTGATCTCTCCCTTCTTACCGTTTGGGACAACTATCAAACAAGGAGAGGACCTTTGGATGTTTATCGAAGTTGCGATCATACAGAAATCAAAAAAGCGTTGGACGTTTTGAAAATTCTACGTCGTCGAACTCTTGAAGTTCAAGAACGATGGCCGGAGGTTGTTGAAAAATCCGTTTCAAGTTACTAAACTCAATTTTAGGTTGCCTCACTCCGATTAATACTTGAAGCTATTGATGAATTTGAAGAGGAATCTTTGACAACGAATCACATGCGGCTTTCACTTAGGCTTGAGACTGTCGTAGGTGAGAATGATTAAAAAAATTCCTCAATGACAATCAAAATAAAATTTGTATTTAGCTGTATCTGAGGAATGGATCAAATTGGCCGATCGAGCAAATACAATCAAGGAGCAGTTGGCACCGATAGTTGAACTGTTATTGGAGTGGAAAAAAATGGAGGTTTGTAAATGAAAAACTGATAAACTCAATAAGGTAGTCAGGTTCGTTCTTGGTCGATTTTGCTTGAACGAACAGAAGAGGACTCTAAAACTCAAGCGCAACTTGTTGCCTATCCATTGTTCGAGAGGCTGTTTTTAGCTTCTGAAAGGTATTTTTAGCTTTGGAAGTGAGTTAGGTGAGCTTTTAGCGATCTCGAAACGCATCTTGTGCCACAAGCAATCGAATGGATTCAACATGGAGTTTTAGTAGATTACCCGACTAGAATCGAAAGCGGTAGAAATGTCATCAGTATTGTTTCAGAAAATTTAATTTTAAGTGCAAAGTCTTTCTACGTGGGCCAAGAAACTTGGGAAGAGTTCATTAAGCAAGAAGCTTACATCAGTTGCTGCACATTTTGCTCAATTCGCCTCGTTGACAAAAGCTCGTTTGGATGAAATGCGCTCACCGATTGAAACAGCCCTAAAGGTTTCATTTCTTTTGATTTAATTAAGTTTCTTGTTTAGGACTATGTTCACATTGCAAAATACAATGATCTCAATTTGGAAAATATCAAAGCCTCGTCAAAGAAAGCTCACATTCAACTATTCAAGATTATCAAGAAATTTAAGGTACCAGGAAAAACATTCAACATAGAATCCATTTAGAATGGCTCCAATCAACCAGTTGGCTTACTGCTTCAGAAGTTGATTTCAATCGAGTCGGTTGCGCGACCTCGTTTGCAAGAATTGAAATTGGTGACAACGAACGGAGAAGGGCGACTTAAAGTTGACTCCATTTTAAAACAGTCCATTCATTTCCGTTTAGCGTGCGCAACAACTTTCCACAAATATTCTTGAGAAAATTTCCGAAAACTGTTTGAACGGACCGTTTATTGATTTTGAGCAACAAGTTCGGGTAAGAAATTACTTATTTGATTTAGACTTTGTGATTAACAGGGATGCGATGAATTAGTCCGAATGAAGATCAAGTATGAAGGCGAAGACAAGGATAAAGAGAAGCAACAAGGACATGAAAATCAACGACGACAGCGAGCAGTGGCTATGGTAAATGATTGTTGGTTGCTATTTCTCTAGGGTACTTTGAATCTCATAAGATAATGAGAAGTTTTAGGTGATCAAAGAGGCTCAATCACTCGGCTTTAATGCCAGACGTGCCGTGACAATCAGTAGAGGTTGGCAATTAGATCACCTTGCAATTAGAGCAATAATGGTTTCAGAACTTCTGACGAAAAGCTCGATCACCGGTTTACAACACGATCTCTCTACGTTACCTTGTGAGATGCTAGTACGCGGAGCAGCTGCTGGCAGGAGCAACATTGTTCAACAAGCACTCACCCCAAATGAACAACTTGGCGTACACACCAGGTTCATTCATGCCATTATTACTTTTTAACGTTCATTTTAGGAACCATTTTGTCGGAATGGTGGAATTTGGGTTACATTGGCAAATACAAACCGAATTGCTTTATGAGAGACTTGCTCAACAATTTGTCGAATTTCGTGAGCTCAAAGCGACTATTCAGTCTGCGGAAAAGAATGCTAAGGTAGTTTTTATGATTATCTTCATTTATGGAAAGTTTTAGGATGGATATTATATTGATCACGATCACATCACTCTTGAATTACCATCACTTTTCGAGAATATCGTTCAACTATGTACGATTTTTGAGGATTGTCAACAAAGATGTAAGATGGCTCCAGATGCTAGCGAAGGTCAAGGTATTTCAAAATCTAGACTAATATCATTTAAAAGACTTTATTTTTTTAAGAGGCTCCGTATCTTCATAAATTGTCAACTCTTCACCGTGGTCACAATAAACTCGAACTTCTTGAGGGATTACTTGATGAAGCTTCGACGTTATCTAATCAAATGAAGGACATGGTCAAATCTCTTCTCAACGCGAAACAATTTAAAGGAAATGCCATATACGCAAGGTATCATCAATGTTACTCAAACTCGAGGATGTTTTATTTAGGGAAAAGGTCGAATCCGCAAATTTGTGTCTCACAAGTTGCACCCAGCGTCTCCAAGAGCTTTGTCTGGATTTGTCGCCTTGGTTTGAGATACAGATGGAGAGAATTAATGGACTTTTGGGAAAAGTTGCAATCGGTATTGAGGTAAGTCCAAGTAAAAATTCAAATAATAAAAGGAATTTTTAGGTGAAACCACTTTCATCGAGTGAAAATGAATTCAACGCGGATTTCTTATTGCTTTTCATTCAGAAAATTTACAAAGAGGTTGTTCTTTTATTACTTTCAAATTACGAGGCTTTAGACGGAGAACCTTGATATCGAGAAGTCAAAAACCTTGGACCGGTACGACCATTTTTTGAAGCTCATTGGTGAAAACGATGTTGCAAAAGTAATTTAAGCACCTTTTTTATTTTTTAAGAGAATTTAGGTCATTACGCAGCTTTCATCATTGGTACACAAATTGGCTATGGCTGAAATAATCCAAAGTTTGTTCGATGTCTCTCAACTTGTGTCCTTGTGTTTCTCCCTATTTGAAGTGATGGTATCAAAAGTGACCTCACTGTTGAGTACTTTTTCTGCATGCTATCATGCAGTTCTATCCTTGACGGACCAATTATTCAAAGAGGTAGAAAGTTTACGAATTTGTGAATTGTGAATTAATAACAATTTTAGGGCTATGTTAACCTCATTCCAAAGAAGGAAGAAACCAAGAATCAAGATGGAGTCGACGCTGATGGTGAAACTGGCGGCATGGGAGAGGGTCACGGAGGAAAGGTTAGATGTTTTGGATGTGTTGCCCTCAAGTTTATTTGTAGGATGCAAAAGATGTCACTGATGAGATGGAAGAGACTGGACAAATAGAAGGACTTCAGGTAAATAATAAATCTCATAGTCAGCTTGGAATATGTGATAAATCCAGTATAAAGCGACTAACGAGCATTTTAGGGTGACGAGCCGGAAACGAATGATGAAGGGCCATCAATGGAAAATGAGACTCCGATTGAAATGGAAGATGATTTTCCGGAAGAACTTCGCGATATCGATAAGAATGATCAAGAGAAAAACGATAAAGAAAACGAAGAGAATGATGAGGAAGAAGAAGAAGGAGAAGAGCCGAAAATGGATGACGAAATGGGACAGGTTGGGTTTAATTTCAAAACATTTATTATCATAGTTTGTGGTTTAGGTCGATATGCCTGAAGAAGAAAAACTCGATCCTAAGTTGTGGGATGAAGATGATCGAGAAAATAGAGAGAAAGACATTGATCAGGAAAATAATGGTTAGCTTTTTCAATCTATTTGACAATGAGAACACTTTAGCTGCCGATCAAGAGACAAATGAGTTGGCTGCTAAAGAAAAAGAAAAGAATGATCAAGCTTCTGATGAGAACACAGCTGATGCCACAAATGAAGATAAAGTATTCATTCTCATTTACTTTTAATTGGAAATTTCTGCAGGAAGAAAACGACATTGAAAATGTTGACGAAAGAGAACAAGAAGATGTGGAGGATGATGCGCGATCCGTTCAGGTATAGTGCTTTGCAAGAAAAAATTATGATGCGTAAAGTATAGGGAGATGAAAGCAATGAGCAAGATCTACAAAACCCAGATGATGTAGAGGAGCCTGAAATCGATCTTGTGGATAAACTCGATACTGAAGAAAATGAGGAAATGGATACAGAAGAATCACCGCAAGAAATCGAGCCTGATGAAATGCCAAATGAAGAGGCAACCGTTTTGAGGAAACTAATTACAAAAAAAAGTAAATTTAGGGCCAAGATGAAACCACCCAGCTACCGGAGAAAGAAAAAGGATTGGAGGAAAAACAAGAAGAGCAAGAAGTCGATCCACAAGGATCAAGTGGAATTCAAAATGAAGAAGCAGAAAAACAGGTAAAATTTGTAGATTTTCCAGAAAGATTTTGATTTTTAAGGATACGGGAGCGATGGAGTTGGAGACAGAAGAAAATATGGAGGTGGAAGAAGGCATGGGGTCCAAGTATTTTTTTAAAGTTATGCTCTTTCACTAATTAATATAGTCAACCCGACTCATCTGGACAAGCTGGAAAAGGGCTAACCAAGGAGACGATCGACAAGAAAAAAGCGGATGAAGAGCCAACTCAAAATGAGCAAATGGAGGACCGGCAGGAGAAAGCGACGACAGACATGGGTGAAAGTGAAGAAAGAGACATGGAAGAAGGTGATGGAGAACGAAATGAAAAGGGAGAACTGGCAGAACGTACCAAAGATGACTCTGGAAAACAGGTCTGTGTAATGGTTTGTCTTTTAGCGAATGAAACTTTGTGAGCTACTTATAAATTACTTCCAGATAATTGGTCATGGATCAATGGAAGAAGCCCGAAAAAGTAAGCGAGATGAGCCATTGAACGAGAGGAAACGCCTTCAACAGGATCCGCTTTCATCATTGAAGGAAGATATTCCGGTACATTTTAATACAATTTTGTTTATGTATCTTCTTTTTAGAATGACGACTCTGAAAATGAACCATTGCAAGAATCGCAAGCGATTGTTCATTTGGCTGTTGAAGATCTTTATTCGTTAGCCGAGGATGTCACCAAACAGTTGGTTCTTGGTGCTTGTGAACCGAATCAACCAACGGAAACCAGAGATGAAAATCAAATCAGCAAAAGGTATTGTTCTTATCATACTAGACTAACCAGATTTTAAGATCAAACAATGTCGATGCCTTGTGGTCAGAAATCAGTCGATCAATTGATGTTCTTTCTGCTGAATTAGCTGAAAATTTGCGGTTAATTTTGGAACCTCAACGAGCCACGAAATTACAGTCAGTTCTTTTTCTAAAGTCATTGAATCATTGTTACAAGGTATTCAATATTCATTTCAGAGGTGACTATCGATCAGGAAAACGTTTGAACATGCGACGCTTGATTCCATACATTGCATCGGAGTATCGAAAAGATCGCATTTGGATGAAGCGAACAAAGAAAGCACAACGCGAGTACCAAGTAAAAGCTCGAAACGATGATTCGACACCTTGCTATTGTTTAGATTCTGATAGCGGTTGATGACTCAGGCTCGATGAATGAATTTGGAATGGGACGGGTAACTTGCGAAAGTGTTTGTATAGTCGACGAGGCTCTACGAAAAGTCGATGCTGGACAAGTTCAGGTGGGTTTTTGTAAATAACTAATCATATTTTTTTCATTTAGGTTGTTTCATTTGGCGAGAACGTTCGAGAACTGCGTGGATGGAGTCAGATTGGTCAGCCAGGATCAGAGCTCCTTTCAACGCTACAATTCGAGCAAACAAAAACGGACCTCATTGGTAATTTTTATTTTTTCTAACGTTGGTAATGCCTATTTAGAACTTCTTACCTGGTCAACTCGAAGTTTGGGAGAAGCTCGAACAACAAATAGTGATCAATTACTTATTATTATCTCTGATGGACGCGGTGCTTTACAGCAAGGAGCAGAAAAGGTGGCTTGAAGTTGTTATACATACTATTTTGGTGCTGTTTCAGGTTAAAATGGCTCTGCGTGGTTTATATGGAGTTACTGTGCTGTTTGTAATTCTTGATACAGCAAAGAAAAGCATCGAAGAGATGAGTGTCGCTTCTTTTGAAAACAAACAAGTAGGGAGGGTTTTTTATTTGTGAGAAAAATCTGTTTTAGGTCAAGTTGACTCCATATCTTGCACTATTCCCATTTCCATTCTACGCTGTGATCAAGTAGGAATTATTGGAGGTCCTTGTACTAGCAAAGTTTTTAGATCTGTTGCTCAATTGCCGTCAGTGCTTTCTGAATCGATCCGTCAATGGTTTGAAATGTGCGTACAACTCAACTCATAATATGCATCGAATGTTGTTCTTCAATTGGCTCCTTTGAAGGCTTCTATGAAACGAGAACAACGAACATTCCCATATTAAAATGAAAGATTCCCATTTATGAATTGTCAATTTTCCGCGCGCCACTATTTTATTGACTTTCCACGGGAAAATGGCTTCAAGTAGTTTTTGTTATTTTTTGAATGCTTTTGTGATAATTTTTAGTGTGCCTTGTTAGCTTTTGAGTAGATTTTATCACTGTTATTTGTTGAGGTTGTTGTTATTTTGCTTTGTTAATTCATTGTTAAATTTGTTAATTGAGAACTAAATAAATTTTTAATTCCGATAATCTTTTGCTGAGTCGGTTGTGGATCCAAATTTTTTGTCTGCAGTCAACTTTAATGAATGCTGCACTGCATGATTTAAATATGTTTATAACCAAACTTTTAGGCGCAAAACTGGGAAGTGGCTATGACGGACCATCACGGACATCATTCGACACAAACGGTAAATATTTTAAACTCGTTTATTGCATAATCTTTTTTTCAGAATGCGACGCCGCCCAAAGATGTGGTTGACCAATTTATTGGGCAAGGAATTAACGACTTCATGGCGGCAATGGACGGAAAAGAAGCAGCCTCTCATTCGGCACACAATGGGCACGAGCATATGGGTAAGATTATGATTGATTATTTTATAAAATTGGCGCGTTATGTGTCAAAAATGTACCTCTGATTATGATTTGACTTTTTAGTCTTAACAAAATTGCTTCTTTAGAGATTGAAAATTGTTTTTAAATATTCCTTTTTCAGGACACGATTCCTCCGGACATGACGGAGGACATCACATGATGAAAATGTGGTTCCACGGTGGATATGAGGAGGTTCGTTCTTGAAGAAACTAATTGGTGATCATATAAAATTTTAGGTGATTCTTTTCGAGTGTTGGAGGGTAAATTCGATTTCCGGAATGCTCGTCTCGTGTGCGATCATTCTGACGGTAAGTTTAAAGATTGAAAAAGTAGCAAAAATAAAGGTTGTTTTAGGAAGTCGCTGGTGTTTTTGTTAGATATTATACAGTACTTTAGTTTTTACAGTATTCTGACGGTAGGTTTAAAGATTGAAAAAGTAACAAAAATAATGGTTTGTTCAGGCAGTCGCTGGTGTTTTTGTTATATATTTTACAGTACTTTAGATGGGAATTGCCTACGAAGCACTCAAATGGGGCCGCGTTCATTTACAGACAAGATTAGCGAAGTAATCTTTAGCCTAATACGTTATATAGAAAAAAGTTTAGGTCTTTGACGCCAATTCACCGGAGAAGTTTCTTCCAAATTTTGCTACCATGTCTATACGTGATTCAAGTGAATTTTTAATGTGTTCTTCAATTAAAAATTTATTTAGTTAGTTCTCGCGTACTTCTTAATGTTGATAGCAATGACGTACAACATCTTCTTAACAGCTGCGGTCATTTTGGGAGGAGGTGGGATTTTATCATTCGTTTTGTGTAAACCAAACGGTAATTTTAGGTATTGGTCACTGGGTATTCGCGGTCATCCATCCGATCATTTCCGAAGACGAACTTGCCGCCGATTCTTGCCACTAATAATGGAATATTGGACTACTTGATTGTAATTATGACCAAAAATCAATTATCGATTTGTTTTTTGTAGGTAGATATCGTCTCTTAATTGTTATTTCTGTTTACCTTCTCTCATTTGATTATTTTTCATTTTGTCCATATCATTATTTTGTCTATCTTTGTACTTTCTCTAATGGTAGCTATAAGAATAGGGCTGGGATAGTAAGTTTGTAAATATTTGGTGATATTTTCTTGATCGGATGGCATTGTTTTGAGCTTTCTTCTGAGATTCTTTTATTCGAGCAAATAAAATTGTTGAGTGGAGTTTCGAACTTGAGACAGCTTGTTTATGACATGAAACGTGATAGATATTTTGGCATGACTGGAGCTTTTTGCAACTAAAGTATCAAATTAAAATTTCTGCAATTGTAAGAGGGCTTTAGATTTTCACTGCGATCATTGACTGTTATGCCGATTCAAAATTTTTTTTATAGGAATGCAGAAGCCCTGCAAATATTTTCAGCCTGGAGATCCGGCCTCATGCCAACGCGGAGACGAATGTGGCTTCAGTCACTTGAACATACCTCTTCGGTTTGTAATTTGTTTAATGGCTAAGATTTTTTGAAAGCCTGCAGGACAATATCGTCTAGAAATTTTTGGGCTAAACAACATAAGTACCGATTTCGGAGTTACTAAACACCTAATATTTTAGGTGTCAATAACTGCCGATTCCGGGTTATCATAATAAACATCTGACAAATCAATATTTTAGACGATATACGATTGATCGGCCAGCATCCACATCTCCAAGTTCTCCAAGTTTTGTTGAAGAAAGAGGTAATGAGGTTAAGTACAAATTTTGATAAATCTGCATGATTTAGCCGATAGCCCGGTTATTGTGCCTCCAATCTCGTTCTTCGCTCGTCCTGTTGGAATTCCACCACCTGATCTCATTCCTCAGCAAACAGCAACTCCACTGACTTTCAAACCAAGAACCAAATTCGAGTGAGTCTCTTCACTCTCTCAGTTTAATCGATGATTTTAGTCTCAGCAAGTATCGATATGTGGCACCAAAGGTCTCTCCGCAACAACAAACATCGATCGCAAGGTAGTTTTATGCAAGTTCTTTTGTTCGCTAACTTTTTTTTGGATCTTTCCCTAAAACGTGATCTTTTGAATTTTTTTAACCTTTTGTCATGTTGTCGTTTTGTGCTTACTTTCAAGATACAAATTGTTGATTCTTAAGACATTAATGGGGAAGAGGATAAGCTGCTTCCATGTGAACTAGCAAACAAGCAAAAGCAAAGAAAGAGCTGTCCCTTCTCCGTAGCTCTTTTAAGCATATCTTCGGACAAATAAGTTGGAAGTCGATCTTTTGTTGTTCCCCCGAAGGTGACAAATTGAAGCATTCATCGCAGCTTGTTCTGTCAGTGTCAGTCTGCGCGCGGATTGAAGAAGCACTTCGAACAATTAAACCCCGGGCCAATAAGCGAAGTGAAACAGGCAAATCGATGGCAGGGAACATTTGACGGCAAACATCCACACAAGGAAATGGCCTCTAGGTTGTTGTGCAGGCGATTTCCAAAGGCCGACTTTCGGCGAGATCTCGCGGAATGGTCCCAAAAAGACACGTTCAAACTTGCACGGATATCGATATTGGTCGTTTGTAAGGGCTACACAAACATTTTTGAGGTATGAGGAAACGCCAGTCGTGTCGTGGCAAACTATGTGTGTTATTGGGTTGTTGAACGTCTTGATGAATAAAATTGTTGCTAAGAAAAAACAGTAAAAAAAAGCAAAAAAAACTCAAAAGGACCACGAAGGTTACTTTTTTAGCAAAAGACCACGTTTCATGGAAAGAGCTATTTATTTAACTTTTTTATTTAACCGATTACTTCTCATTTTAGTATGGCATCTCTCGAAACATCAAACGAGCGAGAATCATCACAAGCAACAAATGCTGGTGCAGTGAACACCTCGGGACCAAAATCGATGGACAAAGGGTGGGTGCTATTGTTTGTATTAGAAATGTAAGTCATGTAAAGTATAATGTTTGTTGCAAACAAAGCAAACACGTAGCAAAAATTTTATTGGCGGAAATTGTGAAAGGTCCGTCATTTCTCGTTGATAGCTGAATTGTCAAAAAAATATGGGCTAAATTGGAAAGGAGGACTTGTCTACGCCATGATTTCTTCCATCTTATCGAGGCAACGAGCACGCGACCATTCTCTCTAAATACTTTGTAAATAGATTGAACCAAATTAGGTGTTTTAATTATACCTCAATCTCCTTCCTTTTAATGTTGTGTATTTTTGTGTCAAGTTCCACTTTTTCATCGCGTTTGTCACGCTTCTTCACGGCATCATTCGAGATATCGCCGCTCATTAATTCGTACTAGAAACAGAAAACAAGAACAGGAACTTTTGGAAAGCGTTACCTCTTCGTCCTTCTCCTCGAGGAGCTCACCCGTCTTTTTCAACAACATCTAACGTGGAAATTGAACAGGGTAAAAAAGCGTAAAAAGTTAGCAACCCTTGATGTCATTTTGGGCTTTGTGTTTTAACTTGGGCCCAACTGGCACGCTGGTTCTAGCGCTGGTCCCTTCTGGATGTCGGTGATATCCATCTAGACTTGAACATTTATTAAAACTCTTAGATATGCAAACAACTACCAACCTCGACTTTCAATCCCCTGTAATAGAGACCCAAGAGATGGTTTTCTTTTAAATCACAAGTAGATGTAAATTTCGATAAATTGCATGCAACAGAGACTAACTGCAAATGGATTTATGCAAATTATGTTTTAATGTTTCTTTTTCAGAAAAGTGGATCTCGTCTACTCGCAACGTCTCACCGATGCCACAATTGAACTCTTCAAGCAGGAAACTTATCAACGAGGATACATTCCACTAGTACCACCAACAAAGGATCTCATTTAGTGGTAAGGAAATTAGGCAAGTTACTGTATTTTCTTAATTAGAAAGACTATACGAAATTCATTTTGTTATTCTTTGAATTGTCCGGTTTATTGTGCTGGAAACATTTTCTTTTGTTATTGTGTAAAATGAGTCATCATCTATTCATAAAAAAGGACCCAAAAGAGCATAGATTTTGCTGTTCTTTAAATTTTTCCCGATTATCCTTGAACTTTTTTTTGCCAGTGTCTGAAAACGGGTCATTATTCATATCAGTTTTCTTGTTATGCACTTTTATCATGTTATTTTTTATTCTTTCTTCAAATTTAAATTTATCTGCAATAAAACAAACTGAAAAAAATGAGAATTTGGCACTTGATCACATAATAGATATGAGTAAATTATAGTTATTTTTAATTGTAGGAGAAATTGGTTCAAAGTAAGAATTTTTGAGTTTCCGTTTTGACGTTTATCACAATGAGCAAAGGAAATGGAAATGGGGAAAAATGAGAAGATTACGGTATGAAAGAAAAGACATTCAGGCAAGCAGAATTATAGGCACACAGCTAAGGGAGATTTCTATGCAAAATCGTTTATATGATGGATGCGAGAGGTGAGTGGTCTTTGAATAAAGGTAAGTGAAATTGAAAATTGAGATGAATAAGAATTAAACAGGAACAGCTGGATGAGGCATTAATGTTCTCATTCGACTCTCTTTTTCGAGAAGTTTCCTTTCTCTTTCGATTCGACTTTTGATCGTTTTCACCTTCTTCTTGATTAGTGAACGATCCGAGTGATTTTGAATGCCCATCGACTAAATTTTTGGCGGTACTTGGTACTTTGGTTTAGTGAAGATTTAAAATGACGTCTAATTTAGTTTTTTTGTCAAAGAGTCAAATATGGCAGCTTTTTAATATGCTTATTGGTAGCTAGAAGAGTTTCAACCGCCTTCAGCGCTTTCAACTGCAGTTTCAACGGCCTCACCTTCAGTTTGCTTCCATCTAACTCGAGGAATTTTGGTCCATTTATTTTGTGCATTGTGAACTCGGGCACATATTTGTCGAGTCCCATTGAAACGAGCAATTGACAAATATCGTCGACAGACCAGTGCAACACTTGAAGACCCTGGAAGCGACGTGGGTTTTATTGTTTCTTTTTTTTTTGACAAGAATTCTTTTTTGCTAATCACTCCTTCAAGAAAACCCACTTGAACATGCTCATACGGGGCTCTCCAGAACTCGTTCTCATCTGAATCGGGGATTTATTCGAGTAAAATTTCAATCACTTACTTAAAATGTATCGTTTTCGAAGTGGGAACAACAGTTTGCGATGCATAAATTTATGCGGAAGAGCAGGAGAAGCTGGCTCGGAGATACGCGGCACTGGACTGTCACAAGAGGAGGAAACCTGATTAGTATTGGGATTAGGTGCTGAAATCGTAGTTCTCACCTTATCATCGTCCCATCCCGTGCACACTTCAGCATCTCGTTTTGCGACAAGCTGAAAGCTTAAGAGTTGAGAGTGTTGCACGATCGCGATAAGAGAGTTGCACGATCGCGATAAGAGAGTTGCACGATCGCGATAAGAGAGTTGCGCGGTCGCGATAAGAGAGTGCGCGATCGCGATAAGAGAGTGCGCGATCGCGATAAGAGAGTGCGCGATCGCGATAAGAGAGTGCGCGATCGCGATAAGAGAGTGCGCGATCGCGATAAGAGAGTGCGCGATCGCGATAAGAGAGTGCGCGATCGCGATAAGAGAGTGCGCGATCGCGATAAGAGAGTGCGCGATCGCGATAAGAGAGTGCGCGATCGCGATAAGAGAGTGCGCGATCGCGATAAGAGAGTGCGCGATCGCGATAAGAGAGTGCGCGATCGCGATAAGAGAGTGCGCGATCGCGATAAGAGAGTGCGCGATCGACGAATCATCTTACAATAGATTTTTCTCCTTGCAAACCTTTGATTGACTTGGAATCCTTGCCATCACCGCTTTATCTTCGTGATTCGTGTGTTCACCATTTGGTCGATAGGCGCTCGATTCATCACCGAGAATTGTTGAGTCGGATGGCTTTTCCTGAAGCAACTTTAATAGATAGATAAAGTGCGTTTCACATCAATACGTTCACTTTAATTTTTATGAATCTTTTTGCATCCACAATAATTTTATCATTTTTAGAAAATGGCAAGAGGAACGAGGCTTTCTAACTACGAAAAAGGCCAAGTCGTCTCCATGGTCAGAGTCAACTCGATCGTCAAGCAAATCAAGAGAACACCTTCTGTCGTGAACAATTACAGTCGAACTTCGATGTAACGAATCGTTCGGGATCGAAAACTTCGAGATAATGGACCTAAAACGTGCCTCAAATTCTCTGCGTAGCTGCTCTGGATGGCCGCTGATTGCATTTGGCTGGGGAAGCTAGGCAGAAATTTTGGGTACGTTTTAGAATTTCAAATTCGTTATATCGAAGTTCGACTGTATTTGGATCCTGCTGGATATGGCACAAAGAAGCGCACTAACTACAAGAAGAAGCTGAATGATCGAGATGTTCGATATATCGCCAATACGATCCACGGGATGTCGATTAATGATGTCAGAGAAGAGCTGAAGCTTGATGTTTACAAGTCAACGGTCTGGCGAGCTCTTCAATCGTTCAGGATTAGTTGGAGAAGTTCAAATCGTTGAGGATAAGTTGCAGAAGCAACCCGCATTGAAACAAGAGCACAAGGATGATCGCTTAGCAAAAGCACAAGGATGACCGCTTAGCCAAGCTTAAATGGCCATGGATTGGACGAGAGTGTTCTTCAGCGACGAGAAGAAATGGAAACTTGATGGTCCCGCACTACTGGAGAGATCTACCAAAGGATTCGATTTATTTTGAGACAAAGAAGTTTGAAGGAGGTAGTTTGATGTGCTGGGCTGAGTTTTGTGCCAAAGAACAAGTCTATCTGCGATTCGTTTCTAATCGAATGACTGCTCAGGATGTTTTGGAATGGAAAATTGGAACTATTTTCTATTTTTGGCTCAGAATCTCCAAATAAATTACGAATTGCAGCAGGATAATGCTAGCATTCACAAAGCCAATCATACAAAGCAATGAATGACGGCTAATGGCTGGATAGTGGAGTGGTTTTGATGGGCGAGAGTGATCTTCGAGAAGAAATGGAATGGATGGTCCCGATGGGATCACGATTTTCTTGGGTAAACGTATTGAATTTCTTTCTTTCTTACCGGTAGGACTTTCTGTTCGACGACTTCTTCCAATCGACCTTCAAGTTCGTCGATTCGTTCCTAGAAATGTTTTCAAATGAATAGTGCTATTTAAACACAGTTTAAACAGTTGTTGAAAGTGAAAAGCGAGAAACGAGAAACGAGAAACGAGAAACGAGAAGCGAGAAACGAGAAACAAGAAACGAGAAACGAGAAGGAGAAGGAGAAGGAGAAGGAGAACGAGAACGAGAACAAGAAGTGTCTTCTCGTGCATTACCCAAGCCTTACCTTCAATTGTTGTACAAGTGTTGCATAGTGTGCATCTTTTTCTCTCAATTGTGATACATGCGATTCTTCTCGTGATAGTAACTCCTTTTCTCTGAAATGTTGCCTAATTGGGATTAGATTTTTTGAGAGAATTTCTAACAGAATTCCTTTAAACCGACCTCTCTTGATAATTCCTCAATAGTTGATTAGCTTGATCGTATTTTTTCTCGAGAAGCTCATAATGATTCTTTGTTGAATCGAGAACCTAAAGAGGTTTTATGAAAGTTGTTGTTGAGGTTGTTGAGGTTCTTGAGGTTCTTGTTAAGGTTGTTAAGGTTGTTGGGTTGTTAAGGTTGTTGTTAAGGTTATTGAGGTTGTTGAGGTTCTTGTTAAGGTTGTTGTTAAGGTTGTTGGGGTTGTTGAGGTTGTTAAGGTTCTTGTTAAGGTTGTTGAGGTTCTTGTTAAGGTTGTTGTTAAGGTTGTTGGGGTTGTTGAGGTTGTTAAGGTTGTTAAGGTTGTTGTTAAGGTTGTTGTTAAGGTTCTTGAGGTTCTTGAGGTTCTTGTTAAGGTTGTTGAGGTTGTTGTTAAGGTTGTTGTTAAGGTTCTTGAGGTTCTTGAGGTTCTTGTTAAGGTTGTTGTTGAGTGAGTTGCTTATTCTCAACTTTCCTCAATTCTCATCAATTCTCCTCAATTCTCCTCAATTCTCCTCAATTCACTTACATTATGCATTTGATTTGCCTTCTTTTGTGACATCTCTAATTCCATTTCGAGAACGGAGATCTTTGTCTAAAAGAAAATCATTTACAAAAGTCTTTGTAAGATTTTGGCAAATGCCGATCTCGTGCTTTATCGTCTAGCAAACGCTTTGTACAACGCAAACGCAACAAAGCAATCAAGTGGTCTTCTGGCACACTAGATCAAATCGTCTCCATACTCAGGGAGAGCCAAACCGCTTGATCGCCAAGCAAATCAAGAGAACAAATATCGTGAACAATTATTAGACATCAGGTCACCAGGTCAAGATCGAACACGAGAGCCACGGGGCTTTATAGAATCGGCTATGTTGATTCTGAATTGGCTATGCTGATTCTGAATCGACTATGCTGATTCTGAATGCTTTTACTATGCTCGGCTATGCTTTTACTTTTTCCAAAGGAGCTCTGAACGCGAGATATCTAGTATCAAAGTTTAGGACGATTTTCGGAGTCCTTATAAGCTTTTTCTTTTCTCAAATGCGGAGCTAGTGGCACAGTGGATGGTGTGCTCGCCTGTGGATAGTGTGGCCGCCATTTTTTGCCCGGGTTCGAGTTCGCTTAGATATTAGATATTCAGATATCTCGCGTTACAGAGCTCTGGAAACATAGCGTTATAGAGCTCTTTTGGAAAAAGTAAAAGCAGATTCAGAATCAGCGTAGCCAATGCTATAAAGCCGTGACTCTCGTATTAAAAGGCCACCTCGACCTAGTGCCTTTCCCTACTCAGAAGTGAGCCAGAAAGCACAAAGTACGAGCGTTTACGAGAGCACAAAGCACGTATCTATTTTTACAAAGAAACTCCTCACTCTTATCTCGGATTCAGCGAAATTATTGCCATTTTGATAGATTGGTTGCGGATTGTGGAATTGTGAGGGATGAGAATGAGATGTGGGAGGGATCTCATCTTCCGTTTGACTTAATTCATCGTCTTCATCGGGTAAAGCGGCACGGGCACGATCAGACTGCAAAAACATCTTTTACAATGAATTTTACAATGAATTCAAAGTGCGAAGAATGTATCCTAAGCTATTAAACAGGTTTAGAGCTGTTTAATAGCTTAGGATACAGCTTTAAAGCTATTAAAAAACTTTAAAGGTGTTTAATAGCTTAGGATATAGCTTAGGATACAGCTTTAAAGCTGTTTAATAGCTTTAAAGCTGTTTAATATCTATCAAAAGCTGTTTAATATCTATCAAAAGCTATCAAAACTCATCAATCAACACTCTTCTCACCTCAAGTGATTGTCGAATCAATTGTGCCACTTCTGATTCATCCAAATTTGGCTCTCGACCTAAATCCATCTCATTTCATTCATCAGGCTCATTCGATTCTCACCAATCGTGAATCGCACTCGATTTGTTGTTGCTCGAAGAGTTTCCGCGGCGAACAATTGACTCACACCGACAAGTGATTTCCCGTCAACAGAAACAATCTAAAAGAGATAGAGATTGAAATCGTTATCCCTTTTCCTCGATCGCTATCCCTTTTCCCGATCACAGACATGTAACAAACCTGATCACAGACACGAATCCTCGAATCCCGATGCACAGCCCCACCCGGAGTGATACTCTTCACAAAGATCCCCAATTTCTCCAATCCCGAATCGGCTCCAACTCCCCATACCTGAAAGTACTCATTACTCATCCGTAACCCCATTCAACAAACCAATAATCGAAACTCCCAATCCCTCGTGTCCTTTATCCAATTCAACATCAAAGAGTGTCATTCTCTCCAAACGTCTTTCCAATTCATACTCGGCACACGATGCAACGGGATCGATTTCCTCATTCCGACGATCATATTCATCGGAAGTGTGAGTTCGATAGACCTAGATTTGAATGGAATATCAAGGAGTCGCGTTCGTTTCCTTCAAAAATTACGTTCCTATTTGCATTTAATTCAATCGAGTGCTTCAAATGTTTCAATGACGGTGATTTTGAAGGAGTCTTACATTTTGAACTTGTTCCAAATGGTCGTACCATCAATGCCGAGCTTTACTATTATGCGTCTTATATACCTGCTGCCTTATATATGCGCTGGCTTAGATACCCGGTGCCTTATATACGCGCTGCCTTATATACTTCGAAGACTGAAGGTTCTTGTTTTTCTTGATTCTTTGCGGATAAAAATTATTTTTCTGCCAGTGAGCGAGAACTTTTTTAGCAACTTAATAGTTGTGTTGCCATCGATGAAGCGCCAATCGGTTGTGTACTGGTATCACGAGCGTTAACCTTACGCTGGGACTAGCGAGTTCTTTTTATGTTGTGAGGGTTTTCGGGAAACCGGAAACCTAAGCCTAAGCCTAAGCCTAAGCTCAAGCCTAAGCCTCAGTCTAAGTCCAAGCCTAAGCCTAATCCTAAGCCCAAGATTAAGCCTAAGCCTGAGCCTAAGCCTGAGCCTGAGCCTGAGCCTAAGCCTAAGCCTAAGCCTAAGCCTAAGCCTAAGCCTGGGCCTAAGCCTAAGCCTAAGCCTAAGCCTAAGCCTAAGCCTAAGCCTGAGCCTAAGCCTAAGCCTAAGCCTAAGCTTAAGCCTAAGCCTAAGCCTAAGCCTACAACAAAACCATCCCCAATGATAAGGTCAAAGCGGGTCAAACTAAGGGAATGGTGGGGTTAAAGTTGAAGATAAAGTTGAAGATAAAGTTGAAGATAAATAAAGCTTAATCTAAAGATGGCGGCAGCTTTGTTGATCAGTCAGAATAGATGTCGGCAGCTTTGTTGATTCAAAGCACTTACAGGAATTGGTGCAGTCGAAAAGGAGACTTTTCGATCTCTTGCTTCTTTTGCTTCTCTTTCCGGTGAGAGTCCCCTTATTTGATCTATGATTCCATCCGGATTTTCGCTCTGAAAGTTGTGATTTCATTTCGAGAATCATCCAGAGCTAAGAAATTCGACTCAATCATCAAAACCCACCATTTTCCCATTGATTTGTCCATTCACTCGTTCATCTTGTTCATGATTTTCTTCGAAACTGAAAACTTTCGATAAATTGGAGTCTAGATGGAGTCTAGATGGAGTCTAGATGAAGAAAAATGTCCGTTAAGCTACTAATAACGGATCATTCTCATTGTTAGTCTTGTAAACTAAACAACTAAACAACTAAACAACTAAACAACCAAACAGCAAGCACACACTGCAATCAACTCAAAATGCTTTACCGTCTTCGATAAAACGCTGACTCTCTCCAGTATGGCTCATAATTGTTTGTTGAAGAAAGAATTGTTTGTTGATTGTTAATTTGTTGATTTGTCCCTCCATTCATCGATGAGCCACTTGTACGAACGAATCTGAGGAAAAACAGGGGTAACACATGCAGAAAATCAAGAGTTTAATATACTTTATTATCCAGATAGAGAAAGAAAGCTCGTTAAGCTCCGTTAAGCTCCGTTAAGCTACTAATAACGAATTCAATTTAACCGATTACCCCAACTGTTCGCTCCAAAAGTTCAATTCCCTAATTTTCAGTCCAATTATGAATATACCGCATTTTCTCTAATAGCTGAGCCTGAGCTTTGCCTAAATTCCTTGAAATCTCGAGAACCGCTTATCAGAACCTATCGATGTGCGGTCGGAAAATCTAGCTGACGATGAGATCTAGTTGGGGATTTGAGTGTTGAGCTTCTGTGAAGAACTTGGAAACCGTAAAATAGACATCAACTCGGCTCGCCCTGGTGCACTACTATTAGAGAAAAAATGGTAACTAATAGGGTAAAGTCAAAAGTAAAAGAATAAAGAAATGAATATGTATGGAACTATTGAAAGAGGATCTATTGAAAGATATTAGTGTGTACATATAGCGTGGAAGGGAGGAGTGGGGAGAGGGGGAAGAGAAGGGGGAAGAAAGGGGGAAGAGAGGGGGAAGAGAAGGGGGAAGAGAAGGGGAAGATGGAGGGGAAGATGGAGGGGGAAGATGGAGGGAAAGCTCGAGGATCTTTATAAGATTTGTAGAAGAGGGTGTTTTCATGGAAAAGGATTCCAGGGGGACCAAAACGACCAAAAGAGATCAAAAAGAACCAAAAAGGACCAAAAAAGACCAAAAGAAATCAAAAGGGCCAAAGAGGACCAAAAGAAACCAAAATGAAACCAAAAAGGACCAAAAAGGATCCCTCCATATCCATACTAAGCACCCCACCCACCCACCACACCCTTGGGACATCTCCCCCTGCACCGGCCCTGAGGCTGACGTGAGGGATCCATTCCATTCCAAACAAACAAGCTCCATTAACATTCCCTCGAAATAGACATTTATTTGAAGTGGTGATCTTTTGGAAAGATAAGTATTGGTTAAAAAGCTAACAAAAACCCTCTGAATTCCAGTAGAATCTTAGCTTTTGATTTCTAGAAGTTTTCTAGGATTCCTAGGATTCCTTTGACTGCTAAAGCTTTCCTAGTGTTCCTTTGGTTCTTAGGATTCCTAGGATTCCTAGAATTCCTTGATTCCTAGGATTCCTAGAATTCCTTGATTCCTAGAATTCGTTGATTCTTAGAATTTTCCTAGGATTCCTTTGGTTCTTAGGATTCCTAGGATTTCAATTCCTAGAACTAGAATCAGAACTATGGTTCTAGGTGCAAGATTGACTCAGCTCATCCTTGTGCTTCATTATCAAGCTTTTATTGCAAAGGACCCGGTTATCCAGCTATAATCTGAGAAAAAGCTTTAGCTCTCTTAAAAAGCTTGAGCTTTCATGAAAAAGCTTGAGTTCTCTTAAAAAGCTTGAGCTTTCTTGAAAATCTCACCTCCGCCAAGTAACCAAAACCATTGCGAATCAAGATTTTAGTGAAAATATCGAAATAAAATCGGAAATTCTAATCCTGGAGCTGAAGGGGAATGGGAGTCCATAATGTATGTGTATGAAACGAGTAAAAGAAGGGAAAGAGGCAAGAGAGGGAAAGGGGAGGGATGAATGGGAAGAGGAGGAGAGGAGGAGAGGAGGAGGGAGGAGAGGAGGAGGAGAGGGGGAGAGGAGGAGGAGAGGAGGAGAGGGGGAGACCCCAGATGGCATTGAAGAGAAGGAAGAACAACAAATACATATTGAATCGAGGAATTGGGGAAGACAAGAAAGACAAGCAAGTAATCCTGGGATTTGTTTCTGAAATACGAGTGGAATGAGAATTAGAAGAAAGCTCATTTCAAGGACTATAGATATAGGAGGTTGACCTAGGCAAGCCCTGTAAAACCTGGAGCAAGAGTTGTTCTGGAGCAAGAGCAAGAGTTGTTTGAAGGCAGGCAAGGCAAGACTGGGATGATCAGAAGTCAAGTCCAAGTCCAACTTGGACTTGGACTTGGACCTAAGCCTGCCTTGCCTTGCCTGCCTTCGAACAACTCTTGCTCTTGCTCCAGAACAACTCTTGCTCCAGAACAACTCTTGCTCTTGACTTGGACCTAAGCCTCCACTTATTGTTGGAGGGATTGGCCTAGGCAATACTTGTGAAGCTAGGAATACTAGGATGGTTGGTTCAAGAGTCAATTTTGGTACCAGATTATCGTTTACATTGTACCAATGATAAAGAACAAGCTTTCTATCTTTGCAAATGAATGCTTTCTAGCAATGAAACATTCTTTAGACTTCAGAGTGCCAAAAGGTCGGCGTTTTTGAGAACTCAAACTGTGGATGGCTTTAGGATTAGAAAAATGAACAAAATTTAAACAAAATGCAAACAAAATGCAAGCAATTTAGAAATCTTCTATCCATTCTTGCTGCTCTTGCATAGTTTTCGGGTATTTTGAAAGAATTCGGGTATTTTGAAAGAATCCAGGTATTTTAAAAAAATCCGGGATTTTCAACGGGTCGTCAGACTTTGAAGGCCTATAACTTCTTCTAGAGATCATATTTTTGTTAACCTTATATATCATTGTACAGAGGAGATTTCAGGCTTTCAAATGATACTAAATAGAGCTTGATTGAAGAATTCAGTCCAGAAAAGTCCAGTCCAGAAAGGCTCTGGATTTGAAGTCTAGACTTGAATGAGCCGTCCAACTTTGAAAGCCCATAACTTTGTCTAGAGATAATATTATGGGTAAGCTTTTATATCATTGTATAGAGGAAGATTTCAGGCTTTCAAATGATACCAAACACAGATTGATTGGATCATCCAATAAAAAAAAAGAGCCAACCCTGAGCAAACAAGGAGACACAACACCCGAGTTAGATAGGGTTCATTTGGCTCTGATTTCTTTGAACTGGATGATCCAATCAAGCTCTATTTAATATCATTTGAAAGCCTGAAATCTCCTCTATACAATGATATATAAGGTTAACAAAAATATGATCTCTAGAAGAAGTTATAGGCCTTCAAAGAGTGGCGACGCTTTCAAAACACCTGGAAACTACGTAAGAGCCGTTTGAATGAAAAACCTGGGATTGAATTCTTCAATCAAGCTCTATTTGGTATCATTTGAAAGCCTGAAATCTCCTCTGTACAATGATATATAAGGTTAACAGAGATATGATCTCTAGAAGACGTTATAGGCCTTCAAAGTTTGACGAGCCGTTGCAAATCCCGGATTTTTTCAAATACCTGGATTCTTTTGAAAATACCTGGAAACTACCCAAGAGCCGAGCTAACTATGGAGGGCTAACTATAAAGAACTAAATACAACGAACTAACAATAAACTAGCAATAAAGAAATTGATAGAAAAGCTTGAGAAAGTCAACAAAACACATGCACTTCCAAGCTGAATTTGAAATGAAATTTTCTGAAAAAACAAACCGATTTTCATCTCCATTTCTTTGAGGGACAATTGTGGGTTGTGATTGAAAGATTTGAGAATTCATTGGCAATGATTGTGGCAATTGTGGGAATGTGGCAATTGTGAAAACGATGTGCCCACAGGGCCACCACTTGAAAGGCGATCCAGATCCGAGACGAGTTCCGTGAAATTCTGAGCCACCTAGAAAATTGATTTGATTAAGGCTGGTTTGGATTTGAGCTGTATTCTAGTATTACCAGCCTAGCCAGTATTACCAGCCAGTATTACCAGCCAATTTTAACAGTTTTAACCTTAACAATTTAACAGTTTTAGGATCTCGGTGAGGCCGAATTTTCGACCATTTTGCAGCTCGATTTTAGATAGATTTTTGTGAATAACTTTTGATAAAACAAATAGTTTCTGAAAGTTTACGTTCTAAGCTATCTAAATCTTCTTGAAACTTCCTGATCTGTCAAGTTTAAGGTGCTTAAAAATGAGCTGCAAGTTAGGCAAAAACTCGCCCTCCTCCGGAACCGGCCGTTAACCGTAAAGCAAGTTTAAAGCTTTGTAAAACGATAAATTCGTAAAACTAGAACAATTACTAAATAGAGAAAGCTTTAGATGTTCCGAATTCTATCAAATTTCTCAAAAAAAATCGAATCAAAGTCACTTGAAGTGAAAAAAAGTAAAGAGAAAAGTAAAAAGAGCGAAAATTTATCTGAATTCAACGATCTTTTTCTTTTTTTGAAGTGAAGGAGATCCAATTTCCTTTTCAAATAACTGACTTGTTGAAGAAATAAAAGAAAGACTCGTTCGAGTTCGAGAAATGAAAGAAGAAGAGAAGAAGTTGAAGAAGAGAAGAAGTTGAAGAAGAGAAATGGATGAATACGAGAAGTCAATTGAAGAGAATGAAGAGAGAGGTCGAAAGTGGAAAGATTGCATCTAGAAGGCTTGTAGAAGGGTTGTAGGTATGAAAAAGACTTATAGAATTGTTCTAGACATCAGAAAGACTTTTAGAATTGTTCTGGATAAGCAAAAGACTTCTAGAATTATTCTAGACATCAGAAAGACTTCTAGAATTGTTCTAGACATCAGAAAGACTTCTAGAATTGTTCTAGACATCAGAAAGACTTCTAGAATTGCTCTAGACATCAGAATGACTTCTAGAATTGCTCTAGACATCAGAATGACTTCTAGAATTATTCTAGACATCAGAAAGACTTTTAGAATTGCTCTAGACATCAGAAAGACTTCTAGAATTATTCTAGACATCAGAAAGACTCCTAGAATTGTTCTAGACATCAGAAGAATTGAAGAAAGAAGAATCCAGTGCACCAAAATTGTGCTTACACTTTTGGGCTTGATTTCTAAGCGAATGCGATTGCGAATGATTTCTAATCGAATAAATCAATGATTGTATCGACTTGAGTGTACTTTATGCTCACAAAATTGTAAACAAATGCTTTCTGGCATACTTCTTCATATCTTCATCTATTTTTTAATTGCAAGAAAGTCAAAGAAAGCAAAGAAAGGCAAAGAAAGCCAAGAAAAGTTAAAGAAAGCCAAAGAAAGTCAAAGAAGGCAAGGAAAGCCAAGGAAAGCCAAAGAAGGCCAAGGAAAGTCAAGAAAAGGCAAAGAAAGGCAAAGAAGGCAAAGGAAAGTCAAAGAAAGCCAAGGAAAGGCAAAGAAAGTCAAAGAAAGCCAAGGAAAGCCAAGGAAAGTCAAAGAAAGCCAAGGAAAGCCAAGGAAAGGCAAAGAAAGCCAAGAAAAGTCAAAGAACTCAAATAAAAGAGAATTCTTTTACCTATTTACCTAAAAATCCTTCAAAAGTTGGGTAATTGAACCGAATTGAGTAAATGGAGTAAATCGAGTAAATCGAATAAATCAAATCAATTTCGATGACTGTTTTATGGATTTGCATATGATTTAGAAAAGCAAAGAGGAAAATATTGTGATGAACGAGGCTGTGAAAAAGGCATTCGAATTGATTTTGGATATTGAAATGAATGACGTATATTTACAAAATATTGTAACATCCAAAATGACAACAAAACAATTCAAACGATTCTCCCTTTCATTTCAAAGAAGATCCCGTTCCAAATGGGTCTTTTGTGGGTCTTTTGGCTCTCCTTTTTTTTCTTTCTCATTCGTAAAACCATTTAGCATTACACACAGAGGAAAAGAGATCAATTTGGTGAAAAAAGAAATCTCTAGATCAAGAGAAATCTCTAGATCAAGCTTGAGATCGAAAAAAGACGAAAATCCAAACGTTTTTGTTTTGAGGTTGATCAGAATCAAGTGTAAAATTGCGATAATGTCAAAAAAAACCAAAAAAATAGCCAGAAAAGCTAGGTCTAACTTTAAGTTCAAATTTCTTGGTGTTGGGTTGTCCAATTCCATTATTCTTGATATCATTAGATTCACCAAGTCTTCCTCTATCGATTGGTATAAAAACCATTTAAATCGGACAGACCAACACGGAGATATTTGGGTTTAAAGTTGGATTGCCAATAGCAAAGGGGGCGGGACCAGAAAGACCTTTTATGCGCGATTTTGCCATTGGCAATCCAACTTTGAACTCAAATATCTCGGTGTTGGTCTGTCCAATTTAAATAGTTTTTGTACCAATCGATAGAGAAAGACTTGGCGCATCTAATGATATCAAGAATAATGAAATTGGACAACTCAACACCGAGATATATGAACTTAAAGTTAGGTTGACAAAAGGGGCGCGGCCAGAAAGGCCTTTTATACGCGCCTCATCCCTTTCGTATCATTAGATTCGCCAAGTGATTCTCTATCGTTTGGTATAAAAACTATTTAAATTGAACAGCTCAACGCCGAGATATTTGAGTTCAAAGTTAGATTGCCAATGGCAAAGGAGGCGGGCTTTGTATAAAATCTCCCAGAATGAGCCCAGAAGGCAAGAATCGAAAAATCAATTTGAATTCCCTTGTCAAAGCTTTAAATCTGTTTAAAATGATTCAAGATAAAGTGATTCAAGTAATGGGTTGTGTATTTTTACTTTGATTGGAAAGGGGTAAAAGGAAGGGAAAAGGAGAGTTAAAAGAGTCAAAATTCGGCGAAATCGAGTTACATCCGTGACTCTTTCCATCGAAATCCACCCAAGAAAACCCAGAAATGCGAACTCTCCGGCTATACACATAAAAACAAATAAATCAAATGTGTTTTAGGTTGGCAAATGAAAGAATTGAGGGAGTTGAATGCGGTGGAAACCAATTGAATGGGTTTTTTTTGCTTCAGAAGTATAAGCAGGCGCACTATATACAGTAGTGGACAATGAAATATGATATTTGAAAAAAGATCGTCACTTTCGCGCGTCTGTAACCCCCTTGTCTTTGAGTTTAAACTAGAGTTCGGCAAACAAAACCAAAACCAAAGCCAAAGCCAAAGCCAAAACAAACCAAAACTCAATTTGCATATAAATTAAAATGTAAATTTAAAATTGTAAAATGTAAATTTTAATGTAAAATGTAAATTTTAATGTAAAATGCAAATTTGCCTTTCACTTTTTCTCACTCCACAAAATTTCGCGGCCGAAAAAAGGACCAAAACACGACCTCGAAATTTCGAAACAAAAAATAGCCTATGGGATAGATTTTTGGATGCTGATTTCAAATCTGCAAACAGATTTTCGCTAACTCCTCCCAGTCGCGAGATATTCGCGAGTTTTGGTTAGTTTTGGTTTTGGTTTGTTTTGGTTAGTTTTGGTTTTGTTATGGTTTTGGTTTTGGTTTGTTTTGGTTTGTTTTGGTTTTGGTTTTGGTTTGTTTTGGTTTTGTTATGGTTTTGTTATGGTTTTGTTATGGTTTTGGTTTGTTTTGGTTTTGGTTTGGTTTGGTTTTGTTATGGTTTTGGTTTTGGTTTGTTTTGTTTGTTATGGTTTTGGTTTTGTTATGGTTTTGGTTTGTTATGGTTTTGGTTTTGGTTTTGTTTTGGTTTTGGTTTGTTATGGTTTTGGTTTTGGTTTTGGTTTGTTTTGGTTTGTTTTGGTTTTGGTTTTGGTTTGTTTTGGTTTTGTTATGGTTTTGTTTTGGTTAAGTTTTGTTTTCCGAAGTCTAGTTTAAACTATTAGTGTTATACATTTTCTGAAAGCTCTTTTCAACGGCTACACAATGGTAATATTAATATTACAAAATACGGTAAACACAAGGGAGTTACAGACGCGCGAAAGTGACAATCTTTTTTTTAAAAATATGATTGTCCAGTAGTGTATGAATGAAAGAATGAAAAATATTCTCAAATGAAAGATAAAGATGAAGAAAGAAAAGCAGAATGGAATCCAGAAAAGAAATCAAGAAAAGAAAAGAAAAGAAATCCAGAAAAGGCTTTCGAGCCGGTGTAATTGCTTGGAAAATCGTTTTGGACACTTGTGGATGGAGGAATTTTTGGGGAAACTCAAGGAAAAGCTTCGAATTAGCAAGAAATGGGTGGAGATTTGGGAAAAATCGAAGCAGGAAGTTTTCTTAGGTTCATAGAGAGGAAAGAAAATCTTTTTTGATCAGTAATGAGTTATATCTTTTGCTAAAAAAGTAGCTATTGAAGCGGTGAACTAGTTTGTTTCCGTTGTAAACAATGAAAGTGAAGAGATTTACTTACAATACTCGTCTAAGAGTAGTCTAGTCTAGTCTAGTCTAGTACTAGTCTAGTCTAGTCTAGTACTAGTCTAGTTTAGTACTAGTCTAGCCTAGTCTAGTCCAGTTTAGTCTAGTCTAGTACTAGCCTAGCCTAGCCTAGCCTAGTTTAGTCTGGTCTAGTCTGGTCTAGTCTAGTCTAGTCTAATACTAGCCTAGCCTAGTCTAATCTAATCTAGTCTAATACTAGCCTAGCCTAGCACTAGTCTAGTCCAGTCTAATATTAGCCTAGTCTAGTCTAGTCTAATCTAGTCTAATACTAGCCTAGTCTAGTCTAGTCTAGTTTAGTCTAGTCTAGTCTAATCTAGTCCAGTACTAGCCTAACTATCATTTCTAAATTTCTACCTGTGACAGCGGACTTTCTGGACATCTTGGCGGTATTGAATAGGGATTTGGTGGCTTTGGTGGAAGTGGTGGTGGTTGACGGATTGGACGAGGCGAATAGAATGATGGAGTCTGTAAAATAAAAAGATTCTGATTTAAAATGAACATTTAATCCTTTACCTCTTGTTGTTGTCGTTCTAATTGCTCAAAGAGAGCTTTTGTATGAGTGAAACGTGTTCTCGCATCATCTGCGAACAACTCAGAAGCAGTTGCCATGGTGGCCAGTTTGAATGGCTGAAAGATGGCTTGATGAAAGAAGGGAAGCTTAAAGAAGAAGTTTAAAGAAGGAAAGAATTTCCAAAAGAATTCCAAAACAAAACAATCAACAAATAACAAGTCAAACAAAATAATGAAAAGAAGTCTGGTAGTCAAAAGATTAAGGATCATTAGAAGGGTCATTAGAAGTATCATTAGAAGAATGAAAGGAGTCATCATTGATAGAAATGGAGTCATCATTGACATTGACATCATTGACACAGAGAGTTCGTTTGTAAATTAGCTCAAAGATATGCATTCATATCTCTAAACAAGATCGTACAAAGGATATACAGTGGAGGAAGTCAATGAATGGTCAATGAATATGAAAAAGGGATATTCTAGAAGAGAAGGATAAAGGGAAAAGATGATCAAGAAAGGAAGGAGGGAAGAAAGACGATCAAGAAAGAAAGGAAGAAAGAAAGACGATCAAGAAAGAAAGCAAGAAGACCAAGAAAGAAAGAAAGAAAGACGATCAAGAAAGAAAGAAAGAAAGCAAGAAGATCAAGAAAGAAATGAACGACGATTTCTCTCTCGAAATCCGTTCGAAGAGAACAGAAGGCATAGATAAGATCAGTCTTGCGTGAGGAGTAAGAAAGGAAGAGGATGAGAAGGGGAGGCAGGATGGAAGGGAAATCTCCTGTCCTTATTCCCGTTCATAACAACATCCCCATCACCACACACATCTTTCCGGCTACAAGGAATATCGGGAACTAGTGAAATTTGAAATTTTGATTCTTTCCTGTTTATATCCCGAGAAAATTAGCATTTAAACGATTCAAAAGGACTAATTCCAGTGTGCGATTCGGCTTTTGGAGAATTTTAATCGATGAAAACTTTAATAACGTTCATTTTTAGGGATATAACATTGATTTGTCTAAGCCTAAGTCTGAGCTGAGCCTGAGCCTGAGCCTAAGCCTAGCCTAAGCCTAAGCCTAAGCCTAAGCCTAAGCCTAAGCTTAAGCCTAAGTCTAAGCCTAAGTCTAAGCCTTAGGTATAACTGGATTGTATCGAGATTTTAAACAAACCAAGAAGACAAGAACCAATAATTTGTCTGTTCAATTGAATAATTTTGAACCAGAGGTAGTAAGATCCGATCGTACCTGATAGTACTCTTTTATTGTTTCATTGTCTACAATTCTTTGGTCCTTTGTCTTTTGAATACAGTAGAGACTGACATTTATGACTTTATGACTGACTGACTTTGTGCTTACTTTTCTATTTTCTAAAACTATTCTATATTCTTTAGTCTAGTCTTAACTACAATTCTAGCCTTAACTATAAGTCTAGAGCCTTAACTACAATTCTAGTCTATATTCTTTAACTACAAAAAGGAAAAGAATCGTAAAAACATCATAGAATTCAAGTATTTACTAGGCAATGGTTGATGGAAGGGATAAAAGAAAAAGAAAAGAAAAAGAGAAGGATGAAAAATGATGAGGATTACACGTGAAGTGAAGGGACATCATCGAAATGGACAGGAAATGGAAAAGAAGGGAAAAGAAAGGAAAGGAAGGGAGGGGAAGGAAAGGAAGGGAAGGAAAGGAAGGAAAGGAAGGAAAGGAAGGAAAGGAAGGGAAAGAAGAGGAAGGAAAGGAAGGGAAAGAAAGGAAAGCAAAGGGGAAGGAAAGGAAGAGGAAGGAAAGGAAGGGAAAGAAAGGAAAGCAAAGGGGAAGGAAAGGAAGAGGAAGGAAAGGAAGGGAAAGAAAGGAAAGCAAAGGGGAAGGAAGGAGAGGAAGGAAAGGAAGGGAAAGAAAGGAAAGCAAAGGGGAGGAAGGAGAGGGGAAGGAGGGAGAAGGAGCAAAGGGGAGGAGGAAGAGGAGGAAGGAAGGGAAGAAGGGCAAAGGGGAAGGAAAGGAAGGGAGGAAAGGGGGGAAGGAAAGCAAAGGGGAAGGAAGGAAGAGGAGGAAGGAAGGGAAGAGGGCAAAGGGGGGAAGGAAGGGGGAGGAAGGGAAGAAAGGAAAGCAAAGGGGAAGGAAAGGAAGAGGAAGGAAAGGAAGGGAAAGAAAGGAAAGCAAAGGAAATGGATATGAAAAGAGATGAGTGATGGAAAAGATGGAAACTGAAGGATTTTGATCAAGATGACAAGGCAAAACAATGAAGAGTAGTCAAAGAATGGATTGGTTTGGAGTTGTTTTCAAAGGCTTTAAAAGTCCTATAGTTGTTCTTATAGTTTGTTTTGAAAGGCTTTAAAAGCCTGCAGTGCTAACCGGAATATAGTGCAGCTCTTTAACTTGTACAATTGTAACTCTAAGTACAACTCCTTAACTTGTACAATTCTTATCAGATTTCTCCTTTCCGATAAAGAAATTTTCTCGATTCTCAGCGTTTCTCAGCAATTTGAATTTTTCTTTTTCTTGAGTGGCCGTTATTATGATCAGATGGAGAAGAAAGAAGGTCGAAAATGGAGAAATTTGAGAATAGATATGAAATGAAAGGAAAGGAAGGAAGGGAAGGGAAGGAAGGGAGGGGAAGGAAGGGAAGGGAAGGAAGGGAAGGGAAGGAAGGGAAGGGGAAGGAGAGGAAGGAAGGGAAGGAAGGGAAGGGAAAGGAAAAGAAAGAAAGGAAAAGAAAAGGAAATGGATGAATCTTCAATTGATATCATCAAGAAATCATGATATTCAATCATTTCATTTGGGTCAGATCAAAGGAAATTGAGAAAGTGATGAGATATCATTTCAGGAATTTGCATAAACCGATTCAACATGTTTAAATATGGCAAAGACCTATTCAAAAAAGCTATTCAACTATAAATCGATGTAAGCTATTTGAGCTATTTGATGTTGAATTTTGATAGGATATTGCAATGAAAAGAAAAGAGAAAAGAGACAATCGAAAGATGTAAATACAAGAAAATCAAGAAAATTATAGTCAAATTTTGGTCTTAAAGAAGGGCCTGAAGAAGGCCTTAAAGAAGGTCTTAAAGAAGGCCTTAAAGAAGGCCTTAAAGGTCTTAAAGAAGGTCTTAAAGAAGGCCTTAAAGGTCTTAAAGAAGGCCTTAAAGAAGGTCTTAAAGAAGGTCTTAAAGAAGGTCTCAAAAAAGCAAATTTTTAAAGGCAAAAGAGTACAAAATAAAAGCATTCAAGCAAAAGGAAAAGTAATCGAAATCCTGAAAGAAAAAGAGGAAAGAAAGAACTGGGAAAACATGAGTTGTTTTCTTAGACAGACGAGAATAAAGGATTCAATGGAAAAGAGAAAAAAAGATCTGAAAAGAAGAGAATTTCTCTTCTGAAATCAGAAATTCAAGCCGAGATTCAGCTTTTCTTTTTAGCTTGATTAACGCTATTCATGTTTTTGTTTGTCAGTTCGATTGCACATGGGTAGTTCTCTAGTTCTCTAGTTCTCTAGTTCTCTAGTTCGCGACCCATCTCAATCTCAGGCCATCTCAATCTCAGCCCATCTCAATCTCAGCCCATCTCACGCGGTAGTTCGCTGGCCATCTCAAGCCCATTTTCAAACCCCTTTACTTTTCAGTACATTTTACATGCCATACTTGTAAAGTCTTTTCCTATATACGATGCTTTTGAAAGCAGACGCGGGTAGTTCTCTTTGCGATAGTTCGCGGGTCATCTCAAGCTGGCTCAAGCTGGCTCAAGCTGGCTCAAGCTGGCTCAAGCTGGCTCAAGCTGGCTCAAGTGGCTCAAGTGGCTCAAGTGGCTCAAGCTGGCTCAAGCTGGCTCAAGTGGCTCAAGTGGCTCAAGTCTTGTGGCTCAAGTCTTGTGGTTTAAGTCTTGTGGCTTAAGTCTTGTGGCTCAAGTCTTGTGGCTCAAGTGCAATAGCTTATCTATGCAGGTCCGCACATCATAGAATTGCTGAGTCTAAGAACTCAGCAATCCTATGATCAAGAACTATGATCTCGCTGTTCCTAGATTAGTATGGTCAAACCTTTTTATTTTAATTGTTTCAATTTAGTAGTGAAAGCCTGAGACTTTCGATTTAGTAGCGAAAGCCTGACTCGATCATATGCCTCTATGCCGAGGCTGTCGATCATTTGCAAAGCTCTGGACTCCTCCGGACTCAGAGAGAGCTACCAGATCCAAACTGTGTCATCGTATCAAATGAGTAACGATAAATTGATTGACTCGATCTGCTCGAAGCCTTCACACTTGAGAATAGGAATAGTTGCCTTGGAAAAACCCAATCACAATCACAGAAAAAAAAGCAAGAAAGAGACAACAAGGAAGATGGTTGAACGAAAATTGAGAGTCAAGATTTGGACACACTTGTTTTGTCAGAGAGTAGGGGATCGGGATCTCTTTTCTCGCTCTTTCAATTCTCTCCACAATCCCGATATTTCTTTTCTTTTCCATTTGAAAGGGATTGTGACCAGCCGAGTGGGGGGAAAGGGGAAGGGAGAGGGGTGCCAATGTGTGCTGTGTGTCCCTCTTCTTTCCTTTCCTCTTCTTTCCTTTCCTTTCCTTTCCTTTCCTTTCTTTCCTTTCCTCTTTCCCCCTTGGGCACCATTTGTGCCTTTTTCGATTGGTTTGATAGATCAAGAGATTTTGAGAGGTACAGAGATCTACAGAGATTTGGATATCGAGAGACACTCTCAAATGACCACAGCTGACCACTGTCACCCTGTTTCAGGCTAATCTTTCTTTTCTGACCATGGCAACAACAAGAAAAGCAAAGTACATGAAAAGTGATTAAAGTATTGATGCTTTAGTACCAAAAAAAGGCTTTAGTATCAAAAATTTGGGTACAGATCTGGTAGATTTGGTAGATTTGGTAGATCTGAGAGTTTTTGATGCGAACTTCAATAGGCAACTTCAATAGCCAACGGAAAAATGCCATATTTGCCATAAGGCCATAAGGCCAAATGCCATAAGGCCAATTTCACTCGGATCTTTTTGATTTTAAGATCAATTGATGCAGAGTTTAGTTTTCTATCAATTAAAATCAAATACAAAAAGATTAGAGTAAAATTGGGCAAAGAAATCGAGCTAGATTCAGGCTTGGTT